AGAGAACAGAAGATGGAGACTAGGGGAAATTACAATGTCACTTTGTTTAGCCCCACCATCTCCCAGTGTAATTTTTGCTTCTAGAAACAACAGCCATGTAGCTATTTACACTATTACCGCTAGAAACAAAGGCACACAAGACAGCAGCTGCTCCTTCCCGCACATGCTATGCCACTGCTGTTTGCGTGTATCGACAGGCTGCAATACAGTCCACCCTTTCCTGGCCTTTTACAAGCAATTTTAGCTAAAAATAGCCGATAATGAACTACCCTAATGCCTGAAAGGACCGTAAACGAAAGTAGCCAAATGGCCAATGAAAAGCCTAACTGCCGAAAATTGCAGGAATTCCAACGATATCATTGCGGCGGTCAAAATTCGCGGCTTCTTATGGTCAGAATGTCTTTTTAAGGTCAAAATTAGGGTTCCTAGCCAGGACTCAATTTTACGGTTAATCTATCTTTCCCAGTCGGATACGGTCAGATATGGATTTAAAATAAGCCAAATCTAGATTAAAAAACCTAAATGTAGATACAAAAAAGCCAGATCTGGATATAAATAGGACAGATCTGGATATAAATAGGAAAAATATTTTAAAAAAAACAAATAAGCAAAATCTGTATGTAAAAAAAAGCCAAATCTAGATTTTAAGAAAACGAGCCAGATCTGGACGTAAAATTAGCTAAATCTGGATGCATATATGCCAAATCTAGATTTAAAATGTGCCAAATCTAGATTTTTTAAAAGGCAAAATCTGGATTTAAAATATGCCAAATATGGATTTAAAATATGCCAAATCTAAATTTAAAACTGCCAAATCTGAATTTAAAATAGGCCAAATCTGGATTTAAAATATGCCAAATCTGGATTTAATATAGGCCAAATCTGGATTTAAAATATGCCAAATCTGAATTTAAAACTGCCAAATCTGGATTGAAATAGGCCAAATCTGGATTTAAAATATGCCAAATCTCAATTTAAAACGGCCAAATCTGGATTTGAAATAGGCCAAATCTAGATTTGAAATATGCCAAATTTGGATTTAATATAGGCCAAATCTGGATTTAAAATAGGCCAAATCTGATATGAATAAGCCGAATCTGAAAACAGCTAAATCTGGATACAAAATAGCCAAATCTGGATGTAAAAAAAGCCAAATCTGGATTTTGAGAAAACAAGCCAGATCTAGACGTAAAATTAGCAAAATCTGGATACAAATAGGCCAAATCTAGATTTGAAATGTGCCAAATCTGGATTTAAAATATGCCAAATCTGGATTTAATATAGGCCAATCCTGGATTTAAAATAGGCCAAATCTGGATTTTAAAATTGGCCAAATCTGATATGAATAAGCCAAATCTGAAAACAGCTAAATCTGGATACAAAATAGCCAAATCTGGATGTAAAATAAGCCAAATCTGGATTTTGAGAAAACAAGCCAGATCTAGACGTAAAATTAGCAAAATCTGGATACAAATAGGCCAAATCTAGATTTGAAATGTGCCAAATCTGGATTTAAAATATGCCAAATTTGGATTTAATATAGGCCAATCCTGGATTTAAAATAGGCCAAATCTGGATTTTAAAATTGGCCAAATCTGATATGAATAAGCCAAATCTGGATTCAAAATGAGCCAGATCTGGATACACATAAGCTAAATCTGGATCGCGGTACCGATCGCGGCCGCTGCCATCTTGGAATAACAAGAACACTGGGATGCAGTTTAATTAATAAACTATTGGTAGGGACATCAGTCGGCAGACTACACGTCGCGAATTCGATGACCGTCGAAGTTGGTCAACAGGGGATACAACCGGAAATTCGACAATCGCTTAAGTTGGTCAGCAAAGTGTTATTTAACAAGAAATAAAATAGGAAAAGTGGTGGGGGAGAGAAGGAAACGAGACATAAGCCAAATCTGGATGTAAAATAAGCCAAATCTGGATTTTAAGAAAACGAGCCAGATCTGGACGTAAAATTAGCCAAATCTGGATACAAATAGGCCAAATCTTGATTTAAAATATGCAAAATTTTGATTTAATATAGGCCAAATCTGGATTTAAAATAGACAAAATCTGGATTAAAATAGGCCAAATCTGATATGAATAAGCCATATCTGGATTTAAAATATGCCAAATCTGGATTTAAAATATGCCAAATATGAATATAAAACTGCCAAATCTGGATTTAAAATAGGCCAAATCTGGATTTAATATAGGCCAATCCTGGATTTAAAATAGGCCAAATCGATTTTAAAATTGGCCAAATCTGATATGAATAAGCCAAATCTGGATTCAAAATGAGCCAGATCTGGATACACATAAGCTAAATCTGGATCGCGGTACCGATCGCGGCCGCTGCCATCTTGGAATAACAAGAACACTGGAATGCAGTTTAATTAATAAACTATTGGTAGGGACATCAGTCGGCAGACTACACGTCGCGAATTCGATGACCGTCGAAGTTGGTCAACAGGGGATACAACCGGAAATTCGACAATCGCTTAAGTTGGTCAGCAAAGTGTTATTTAACAAGAAATAAAATAGGAAAAGTGGTGGGGGAGAGAAGAAAACGAGACATAAGCCAAATCTGGATGTAAAATAAGCCAAATCTGGATTTTAAGAAAACGAGCCAGACGTAAAATTAGCCAAATCTGGATACAAATAGGCCAAATCTGGATTTAAAATATGCCAAATTTGGATTTAATATAGGCCAAATCTGGATTTAAAATATGCCAAATCTGGATTTAAAATATGCCAAATCTGATATGAATAAGCCATATCTGGATTTAAAATATGCCAAATCTGGATTTAAAATATGCCAAAAATGAATATAAAACTGCCAAATCTGGATTTAAAATAGGCCAAATCTGGATTTAAAATATGCCAAAATTGGATTTAATATAGGCCAAATCTGGATTTAAAATATGCCAAATTTTGATTTAATATAGGCCAAATCTGGATTAAAATAGGCCAAATCTGGATTTAAAATATGCCAAATCTCAATTTAAAACGGCCAAATCTGGATTTGAAATATGCCAAATTTGGATTTAATATAGGCCAAATCTGGATTTAAAATAGGCCAAATCTGATATGAATAAGCCGAATCTGAAAACAGCTAAATCTGGATACAAAATAGCCAAATCTGGATGTAAAAAAAGCCAAATCTGGATTTTGAGAAAACAAGCCAGATCTAGACGTAAAATTAGCAAAATCTGGATACAAATAGGCCAAATCTAGATTTGAAATGTGCCAAATCTGGATTTAAAATATGCCAAATCTGGATTTAATATAGGCCAATCCTGGATTTAAAATAGGCCAACTCTGGATTTTAAAATTGGCCAAATCTGATATGAATAAGCCAAATCTGAAAACAGCTAAATCTGGATACAAAATAGCCAAATCTGGATGTAAAATAAGCCAAATCTGGATTTTGAGAAAACAAGCCAGATCTAGACGTAAAATTAGCAAAATCTGGATACAAATAGGCCAAATCTAGATTTGAAATGTGCCAAATCTGGATTTAAAATATGCCAAATTTGGATTTAATATAGGCCAATCCTGGATTTAAAATAGGCCAAATCTGGATTTTAAAATTGGCCAAATCTGATATGAATAAGCCAAATCTGGATTCAAAATGAGCCAGATCTGGATACACATAAGCTAAATCTGGATCGCGGTACCGATCGCGGCCGCTGCCATCTTGGAATAACAAGAACACTGGGATGCAGTTTAATTAATAAACTATTGGTAGGGACATCAGTCGGCAGACTACACGTCGCGAATTCGATGACCGTCGAAGTTGGTCAACAGGGGATACAACCGGAAATTCGACAATCGCTTAAGTTGGTCAGCAAAGTGTTATTTAACAAGAAATAAAATAGGAAAAGTGGTGGGGGAGAGAAGGAAACGAGACATAAGCCAAATCTGGATGTAAAATAAGCCAAATCTGGATTTTAAGAAAACGAGCCAGATCTGGACGTAAAATTAGCCAAATCTGGATACAAATAGGCCAAATCTTGATTTAAAATATGCAAAATTTTGATTTAATATAGGCCAAATCTGGATTTAAAATAGACAAAATCTGGATTAAAATAGGCCAAATCTGATATGAATAAGCCATATCTGGATTTAAAATATGCCAAATCTGGATTTAAAATATGCCAAATATGAATATAAAACTGCCAAATCTGGATTTAAAATAGGCCAAATCTGGATTTAATATAGGCCAATCCTGGATTTAAAATAGGCCAAATCTGGATTTAAAATATGCCAAATTTTGATTTAATATAGGCCAAATCTGGATTAAAATAGGCCAAATCTGGATTTAAAATATGCCAAATCTCAATTTAAAATGGCCAAATCTGGATTTGAAATATGCCAAATTTGGATTTAATATAGGCCAAATCTGGATTTAAAATAGGCCAAATCTGATATGAATAAGCCGAATCTGAAAACAGCTAAATCTGGATACAAAATAGCCAAATCTGGATGTAAAAAAGCCAAATCTGGATTTTGAGAAAACAAGCCAGATCTAGACGTAAAATTAGCAAAATCTGGATACAAATAGGCCAAATCTAGATTTGAAATGTGCCAAATCTGGATTTAAAATATGCCAAATCTGGATTTAATATAGGCCAATCCTGGATTTAAAATAGGCCAAATCTGGATTTTAAAATTGGCCAAATCTGATATGAATAAGCCAAATCTGGATTCAAAATGAGCCAGATCTGGATACACATAAGCTAAATCTGGATCGCGGTACCGATTGCGGCCGCTGCCATCTTGGAATAACAAGAACACCGGGATGCAGTTTAATTAATAAACTATTAGTACACTATTCTGCTTTCTCCACTCCCGCTTGAAAGACTGCTTTAGTGCTGTTTTAGTTTCCTTGTAGCTGTTGGTAAGTAAAATGAACTGTTTCATACTTTATTACATTTAGCTTTGTATCTTTAGCTAGTTTTCATCTGGATGATTTCACTAAATTATAGATGAAATACCTGGTAGTATTCTTTCAATCTGCCTTTTTCCAGTTCAGCCATAACCTCACTGCTCCAGTAGGTTTGGCAGCATGCGATCACCACCTGGCCAGGCCAGGTAAGCACCCACTCAGTACGAGGAATCTGACACAAAATAAATCGTAATTTATATTACTGTGGAATCATGACACGTTTTCTACATTCAGTTTGTGTTACTCCATGATTACTTGGGGGAGTCACAGTGGTGCAGCGGCTAGACGCTCGCCTGCGGATCAGAAGGTTGTGGGCTCGCTCCCTGGCAGAGCCGGACTTTTTTCAAAAATGACCTTGGCTCCCAGGTCAACCCATCTTTGAGTGCCTACTGGGTGCAGTCCCGGGAAGTAAAGGCGGCCGGCATGATGCTGACGACATACCCATCTTGTGCCGATTGGTCTGTAAAATATAGGTCTAGCCCTATATGCCTAAAGGCAGGGAAAAGGGTCCATTACTTTTTTATTTTTAATGAAAACTTGGAAAGAATTAAAAAAAGCTGTAACCTGAAGGTGTGACACCCTGAAATTACAATACCTCAATGTAAATGAGAAACCAACAGGACAAATCTACTTTGGTTCAATTCCTGAGAAGTTATAAATGGGGTGCTCATAATGGCTATATTAGTTTCATGGAAAATTATTTTTCTCTGAATTGACTGCATACCCTGGGTGTACCAGCTGGAGCAGCGAGACAGGGAAACCATGGGGGGGGGGGGGGCACGCGTCTTTACATCAACTGGGAAAAGTGGGAGTTGTTAGCCTAAAAAAACTTGAGACACGCGCAGGAGGAGGTTGGAGCACTTATGGTCAAGCCCGATGTGCATGAAGATGATCTTTAAATGAGCAATACCAGGTTGGTGGAACCTGCAGTCCTCAACAGGTGAGGATTATCAAAGAAAAAAACAAATCAAAGTAGCATTTTGTAAGATCTTTTATAATATGTCATGTAATAGGCTTTTTTCACTGAATATTAGAGAGAGAGAGTGCAGATGTGTTAGTACATGTTAGAATCTTCCTCTTCTTCTTCAGCATTCTGAGTCCTTGAGGTTCATTGCTGCAGATATCACATGCCTCCATTCATCTCTCTGATTGGCCTTCTCTTTCCAGTTGGTGAAATAAAGTGTCTGAAGGTCTGTCTGGACCTTATCTCTCCATCTTCTTCTTGGTCTGCCCAGTGGTCTATGACTATTTACCTCACTTGTGTATACAGTTTTTACTTCTCTGTCATCTGACATTCTCTTAGTATCCCCAACCATTTCAGTCTATTAACTTTCATGATGTCAGTGATCAGTAGTGATTTAAACGGATTATAAATTTCATTGTTGCTTCTCACGCTCCATACCCCACTGTTTTGCATCTTTGATGGTCTAAAATTATGGTGTGAAAAAATATCATCAGTAGAATTAATCAAGAGCACTAAAGAATGAAATATGAGAAGTGGAAAAAAATATTGAATGTTGAGTTAAAAATCATTATCACAGCACTCGGGAGTCGCCATGGCCAAGCGGCTAGACACTTGTCGCGGATCGGAAGGTCGTGGGTTCCCTCCCTGGCGGAGCCTGACTTTTTTCAAAAATGACCTTCGTATCCCAGGTCGACCCAGCCTTGAGTGGGTACCGGGTGCAGTCCTGGGAAAGTAAAGGTGGCCGGCGTGATGCTGACCACATCACCCATCTTGTGCCGATTGGTCTATAAAAATATAGGTCTAGCCCTATATGCCGCATACGCCTAAAGGCGTGGAAAAGGGTCCTTTACTTTACTTTTTACTTATCACAGCACTCTAAATATTCCCATAAGTCACCCATACACCTCTGTAGCAGCAAGCACAGAGTTCCGATTCCAAAAATCTGACTGTATCTCCATCTCGCTTTTCCGTTCAGTGCTGAGCATCAGCAAGATTCCCTGGTCACTCCTCACAATATAAATGTACACCCCATCAGGTATGGTCTGATGATGATAATTAGAAGGAGGAGGAGGAGGGGAAGGTGTATGGGAGAGGATGGGGATGCTGGTGGAGGTGGTGGATGAACAGCCAGGACTTTCTGCCAGATTTCACAGCCGGCAAGTGCAGAAAAAGAGTTGAGCTGAGATGAGTCAAGAATTGACTCAGGGCATTCCCATGTGTGCTCCATCCTCATCTTCAGCAGCCTGTGCAGCTTTCCAATACTGATGGTACTGGTCACAATCTGGTTATTTGTCCGTCTTATCTTTCCTCTGAGTGTAGTGAGCCGGCCAGACCCTCTGGTTACACCCAGATGCCTCATTCTCTCCAGGCCATAGTAATCTAGTGTCTCTACTGATTCCACTGATTGTTCCCAAAGGGCCTTGACCACATCTGCCTTGTCATGTATCAATTCACCACCCAGTAGTACAAATCCAGCCAAGTAGCCTGCCTGTTCATTACCCACTACGCCGGCATGGCCTGGAAAAAAGATCCAAAGTATGCTCATTACCCGTGTCATGTGAAGAAAAAGAATCTCTAAAAATGGAACCTGCATAAATTACCCAATAAAAATTTTTTTTGCATGACCTGACTTGCTTACTAATGTCTGCATAACACTCACTTCTGTATAGTTCCTTAGTGCATCCTTTATGATCAAGCGTAGTGACTCTCGCATGACTCTCTCAATTTCCAGCATCCAGTCCTCAACGTTGCCTGTAGGATACAGTGTCTCTCTCAGGTCAACAACCTCCCCTTCTCCAGAAAACATCTGTGTAATCTTTAGATCCTCTTCAAACTTCAACTGAAAAAAAAAAATTTACACATGATAGTTAAAGTGGGGTTAAAGTCATGTTACAGTTAAAATTGAGTCACATAATTGTTACCACTGACCGGCCCTCCAACCTCTCAAAAGTGGGAATTCCCATTTGAGCTGTTTGTCCTTATATCTGGAGCTCGCCGTGGCTCAGTAGAAGGGAGAAGAGTAAAGGCAAGCCAAGAAAGATCTGGATCCAAAAGCTTGTGTTTGTTTCTGGGCCCCACTGTTGGGAAAATAAAAATTAACCCCATCAAGCATGTCATAAGAGTTTACAAGTTAGGAGCTTGCATCAAAGTCAGAGTGCCTCTATCTGAGAGGTTAGTGAAGGAGGGTGCAATTATGGAAAATGAAACAGAGACCATCCTTCGTGGAGGTTACAGGACACTGAAGATGCAGTGTCTTTGAAAGTACATAGGGCTGGAGAATAGGCTAGAGAAAGAGAGACTTTCAGGCGTGCCACGTTGAGGGTGACATACTGTAAAGAACCTGTTGGCTGATGAAAGAGAGGCTGGACCAACCCTAGAGCAGTACTGATGGTTAAAAATAATCCATCTGCTGCTGAGCATTGAACCCAGACACTTGTTTAGTCAAGCACACATACTAACATCTATGCCACTCCAATTTCCATTCAGTACAGGTTTTGGTAGACCACATCCTCCCTGTATGGAATCAAGGGCACCATTTTTGTTTGGGTGAGGGGGGGGGGGGGGTGTTGGGGTTGGGGTTGGGGGTGGGGAGGGGGGAACAGACCCACTGTCCCCCACTGATTAATTAATGATGTTTCCTTTGAAGTCAGAGTGCATCTGCCTCAGGGGTGGTTAACCAGCATCTGCATACAAATGAGCCAGATTTGTAAAATGGATGTACACATAAGACCAAAGTCTAGAATGAGTTGAGTCAAGAATTGACATCAATGTACTTGGGGCATTCCCATGTGTGCTCTGTCCTCATCTTAAGCAGCCAGCGCAGAGATCCAGTACTGATGGTAGTGGTCATAATCTGGTTGTATGTCCATCTTGCCTTTCCTCTCAGGGTAGTGAGCCTGCCAGACCTTTTGGTTACACACAGGTGCCTCATTCTCTCCAGGCCATAATAATCTTGCTTTTCTAAGAGCTATAAAATCTAGAAGTGGATGAATAACTTCCTGCCAAGATTTTCGGCTGGTGAACGCTAAGAAGAAAAAACTATACACTCATTTCTGTCATGATACACAAAACAAAACAGAAAGTCATACCCTAGCAACATTTTCAAAGCATTTCCTGAGATGTGGCTGCACAGCTGTTGGATTTTTAGTTTGAGACAGGATCTCAAGGAGCTCATCGTCTGACAGGAAGTAGAATCGTGGAAAGGCATTTCGTTTGGTCTCTAGATACTCACTCAAACCCTTCTGAACCTGCTCTAGAAGTTTGTTACATTCTTTCAGATTGTCCAGAAGTCTGTTATCTGGACAGAGGGTGATCACCTATAACAAGAAAACATTTTAGCACAATAAAAAAATAGATAACTGAAAAACTTCATAAATAAGACAGTTCTAAAGAAGAACAAGGATTGATGATATTAAATCTCTAGTTCAGTTTCAGGGCCTCATTTTGGGGGACAAGAATAGACCTTCTCAAACATGCTGTACAAGGTGACTAGTTAGGGGTGTTTTGTTCAAAGTTTAAGTATACAAAGTATATCTGCCTGAGAGGCGAGGAACAAATAGTCTGCATACAAATTGGCCAGACCTGTAAAACGGATGTGCATGCAAAACTGATGTTCTGGAACAATACAAAAATCTAGAGGTGGGTGAACAACCAGAACTTTGTACCAGAGTTTACAGGCATTGAATGCTAAGAAGAAGAGGAAGAGATATGGTATTAAAGGTGACTATGTGATTAAGCTATCTGCTGTACACTCTGGAGATTGTGATTTCATTTCATAGACTGCATTGTCTGGTTCATGAGTGCACTTTTTATTGACATAACTGGGGGATCATAACTGGAGCTACAAAGTTTGTGCTTTGTACGTCTTCAGCAGATGGCCAACCATTCTGCAGAGAAATCAAGCCACATGGGATAAAATCCAGTGAAATGAAATAATTCATTATGGCATCCAAACCATTGATGGTGAATAAGCAGAGAGTCTCCTCCCAGTTTAGGAATAAAAGCTGCTTGCAAAGCTGTCACCATATTCTTCTTATTCTTTGTTCACCGGCTGTAAGCTCCAGTGGAAAGTCCTGGTTAACATTTTGACTTTGCCTTTGTGCCACAGACTGAGTTTTGTGTGTGCAGTTGGCTGTACCTTGCCGCTCAGGCAGATGGACTCCAACTTTGAAGTCTCCAATTAGTCGACTCCTACAACATGCTTGTTGGGAAGGCAGTAGGTCTATTTTTTTGTTTTGCCCACAATGGGGCCCCAGAATCTATACAGGGTTCAGACTAGAAATTTTCTAAAACTCTTTTAGCCTTACAGACTGTTGAACATTTATGGCATGATATTCTTTGAATTCGGTTAGGTCGACGTTAGTCTGTCCAAACAAAGTAGGTCATTTTTCATTCACAAGTTTGTTGGCCTGGTAGACTTTCCTGAAAGTTACAGGTGTTTCCCACTCTCTTGTTTGTTTTCTGAGATTTCTTACATTTACATTTACATTCCAAGAAAGAAAATGCCTGTGACATAGGTTGCAGCATTCTCTAGGGGGTTGTGTTAGACCCAGTTTCTCCATGTTTTTGGATGTTAAAAGTGCTGGCGTGCTGAAATATACAACATGCGATATCAACGGCATTGCAAAACACCCCCCCCCCCCTCCTCCGTAACCGTGTGTGAAGTTCACATGGCTCAGAAACTGCCAATCAGAAGTGAGCTAGCATGGGTGGAGTCTGGGGAGACTAACATCGAACTAACCTTGTCTTCTGCTTCTTCTTCTTCTTTTTCTGTTGTTTCTCATCTCTTAATCGCACTGGAAACAGCAGTATACCGCCTAAAGACTGTAATGGATGTTTAACCTTCATAGGCCCAAAATATTGCCATCTTCACTGATTCAGTGTCTGCTCTTCAAGCTCTGGAGGGCAGAGAACACTGCAGAACTGACATAGCTAAGATTATTCTAGATGCTGATCAGATCATTACCTTATACATCAGAATAGTGATGCAGTGGATTCCAGACCACTCTGGCACACCAGGTAATGACAGAGCTGACAGACTGGCAAAGAAAGGAGCAACACAAGAACAACCACCTACAGCGACAACCCTACAGACAGCAAAAACACTTATAAAAGCAATAAACAAAGAGACTTGGCTGAACAGATGGGCCATGGGAGATACTGGAAGAGAGGTTTATAGACACATGGCTAGCCCTGATCCTAATGACAGCATTAACCATTTAACAAGAAGGGACCAGGCCACCGTCTTCAGACTCAGAACACCACATACTCCACTCAATGGATACCTAAACATAATACAGCCACAACACTCCCCAGAGTGCCAGCTATGTAACTACCCCTACGAAACTGTTGACCATCATCTCTTTGAGTGCCCAAAACTCAATGAGACTAGAAGAATGCTACTCCCTCCGAGACCAGACAGGTGGAACACCTTGTACGGAGAAAAAGAACAGCTTGTGAAAACATGCAAATTCCACTTCATGGCATTGGGCCAAAGGGCGAAAGCTCATGCGCCGCTGGATCAGTAACAACAACAACAACAACAACATCTCTCAATGAAGTAGGGTTCTGAGTCAACTCATGTCAAGTTTCCTGAGTGGGTTCTGGGGTCCCATTGTCAGAAAAAAAACAAGAATAGACTCACTTACTCCCTAACAAGCATGTCCTAGGAGTCATCTAATTTGTAGTTTACTTTGAAGTCGGACTGCATCTGCCTGAGAGGCAAGGAACCAACAGTCTGCACACAAATAAGCCAGATCTGTAAAATGGATGTGCAAGTTCTGGAGCAAGACTAAAGCAGAGAAATGGACGAACAACCAGAACTTTCTCTCAGAATTTATAGCCAGTGATCGCTAAAAAAAAAAGAACTTTTATCAAGCCATATGTAGACTTGTTCATAATTGATTTGATTTTGCAGCTAGTTTTACAAATAAAACAAAAAGTCTTAGCTTTAAAAAAAAATATATCCAATTATAAAAAATTTTTCTACGAAATATAAATAAATTACAAATAAATTTTTTAAAAAAGTTTTTTCAATCTTCTATTGTGACAGTAAAATTCTGGCAAATTCATGAACCTGTGGATTCTCCTTGGCTCCCTTCATTAGTTGCCTCCAAATTCTCTCCATGGTCTGGTAACGTTTGCTCTCCACTGGCAGCTGGCGGTTGATGTCCTCGGAGCTGAAGATGGGTTCCAGGTACAACCAGGAGCGTTGACAGTTGAGCCACTCATCTAAAGCATCCTGGAAGAGAAGCACAAAGACACTAAAGGAGCAGCCTGTAAATGTGTTAAGATACCCAAACATGGCTTCAATACAAGCTAGAGAGTGAGAAACTGAAATATGATGAATGAGACAAAACCCTGGTAGCTCTATCATACAATATATTTCATACAGCATGAATAATTTAACAGCATGGATGTTTTGACAACATGGATGATTTGACAGCATAGATGATTTTACAACATGGATGATTTGACAGCATGGATGATTTGGCAACATGGATGATTTGGCAGCATGGATGATTTGATAACATGGATGATTTGACAGCATGGATGATTTGACAGCACTCATGATTTGACAACATAGACACTCAGTGGACAAATTTATCAAGAATACCCCCCAAAACAAAAACTAATAATTGTGGAAGAACAAAATCATGACACATATTTATAATGAAAACCAAACCTGGGTTGTTCCTGAGCTTGCTTTCCCAGCTACTGATTCGGTCCTCAAATGGTTTCTTGAACGGGGAGAAAGACATACTTTGTGTCATGACAATGTGATCATCCAGGAGTTGTGAGGTCTCTTCTGAAGTGTGCAGGATGTATGTTCCAGTCTCCTTATATGGCATTATTTCGAACATAACTGGCTCCCACTCTTTCTCCATTTTATCCAAGGCCTGAAAAATGTATTTGAGCTAATGTAAACATCAGCAACAGAATATTGTACAAATTCAAGTAAATAGGTAACTACAGGTTCAGCTTCATAACAACAGGTGACGCCATGAGTTATGAGTCATGCGTTAGATTATCTTGACAGCACTCCAGACACATCCATAGGTGCTCAGATTCCCCTCTCAACATATTCATCAGCGTTGTGCGGTTAATAGTATCAGTTCTATGTTGGTTAACAAGACTTCATGTGCGTCCGGTGTGCTTCTCATGTTTGGCTGTGCTGATCTTGATTCCCAAATCTCGTATTCTTGATTAGAACACGTTGCTTCCAAAATCCTCAGAAGGTCCTATCTAAGGGCAATGACTATGTCTGCGTAATCCATGGGCTAGCCATCTTCAATTAATGCAGCACCTGCCAGTCTATCAGCTCTTTCATTACCAACACGCCATAGTTACTCCATTCCTGTGCAAACAAAAACCACACACAATTTCTATCACTATCCCTTGAAAAGCGAATTTGACACAGACTGCAGTCTCAAGAAAGCCACTGATCTTTCCAGTGGTAACAACATGTCCAAGTTTCCCTCTTCTCATAACATGACCAAAAAATGATGACTGTCTTTTTCTGATGCTTCAAATAATCAGGTAATTGCAGTTCCAGTCTCTTTCTGATGCTTCAAAAAATCAGGTAATTGCAGTTCCAGTCTCTTTCTAATGCTTCAAAAAATCAGGTAATTGGAATTCCAGTCTCTTTCTGATGCTTCAAATCATCAGGTAATTGCAGTTCCAGTTTCATAGCAAACAGGTTCCCTCATAGTTACTCCATTCCTGTACCAGGTAAATATTCTAGACATATTAAACATTTTGTATAGCTTGCACACACATTAAATGCATAAAGCAGCTATAAGGAGTACCAATACGGACAGTCTTGCACTAGAAATGTAGTTCACTGTCAATGAGAGCAGCTGTTACAACTGTCTACTAGCAAACAATGCATCAAGTGATAAGAAGTTCTGTAAAGATGATATGTTTTTGTAAACTCTGTAACATCCAAATGTTAAATTAGTATCCAGATGACTCGGTGCAGTGACATTATCTGTCCACTCACACTAGCCAGAGCTGTGCAGCAGCACAGCAGTCACAGTGTAAGGTGCAGAAGCACAGCAGTCACAGTGTAAGGTGCTGAAGCACAGCAGTCACATTGTAAGGTGCAGAAGCACAGCAGTCACAGTGTAAGGTGCTGTAGCACAGCAGTCATATTGTAAGGTGCAGAAGCACAGCAGTCACAGTGTAAGGTGCAGAAGCACAGCAGTCACAGTGTAAGGTGCTGTAGCACAGCAGTCACAATGTAAGGTGCTGAAGCACAGCAGTCACAGTGTAAGGTGCAGAAGCACAGCAGTCACAGTGTAAGGTGCAGAAGCACAGCAGTCACAGTGTAAGGTGCAGAAGCACAGGAAAGAACTTGGATAGGAGGCTGCTAGTTCAGAGTCGGCTGATGCTTGTGGACAAGGTGATTGCCAGTGTGTGAGTGCAGACTTTAAAGCACTCCGGCCAGTTGGGGTAAGGTTAGCAAGCCACCTATAGTGTGAACTACCGACTGCTTGTTGTAAATTCTATTAAAGGCTGCTGTGTATGCTCTGATGGTGTTGGTTTAGTTGTGTTGAGGGATAGATGTTTCTGTCATGGAGCTGCCAATGAGCTACTTGCCTTGATAGCGGTAAGCAGATCTCTGACAACCCATTATATCCTAACTGTAAATAATATGAGTTGAGTTGAGTCCAGAATTGACATCACAGCACTCCAGGCATTCCCATGCATGCTCTGTCCTTGTCCTCATCTTCAGAGGCCAGTGCAGAGTTCCAATACTAACTGCAAATATTACATACTCAAATGGCTGTGTACAAGTAAAGGTCCTTTTAAACACCAGTGATGCATCAGGAATATGAGGCTATACATATTTTTATAGAACAAATGGACCCTGAAGGATGATGTGGTCAACATCATGTTGGATGGCTCTGCTGACAGAGGCCAAAAAAATTTTTTTTTAAGTTTCATCGCAACAGGGAATACACTCCAGAAAATAAGTTAGTTAGTTAGTTGATTGATCGCTCATCCTGTAGTTAGTTGATTGATCGCTCATCCTGTAGTTAGTTGATTGATCGCTCATCCTGTAGTTAATTGATTGATCGCTCATCCTGTAGTTAGTTGATTGATCGCTCATCCTGTAGTTAGTTGATTGATCGCTCATCCTGTAGTTAGTTGATTGATCGCTCATCCTGTAGTTAGTTGATTGATCGCTCATCCTGTAGTTAGTTGATTGATCGCTCATCCTGTAGTTAGTTGATTGATCGCTCATCCTGTAGTTAGTTGATTGATCGCTCATCCTGTAGTTAGTTGATTGATCGCTCATCCTGTAGTTAGTTGATTGATCGCTCATCCTGTAGTTAGTTGATTGATCGCTCATCCTGTAGTTAGTTGATTGATCGCTCATCCTGTAGTTAGTTGATTGATCACTCATCCTGTAGTTAGTTGATTGATCACTCATCCTGTAGTTAGTTGATTGATCACTCATCCTGTAGTTAGTTGATTGATCACTCATCCTGTAGTTAGTTGATTGATCGCTCATCCTGTAGTTAGTTGATTGATCGCTCATCCTGTAGTTAGTTGATTGATCGCTCATCCTGTAGTTAGTTGATTGATCACTCATCCTGTAGTTAGTTGATTGATCGCTCATCCTGTAGTTAGTTGATTGATCGCTCATCCTGTAGTTAGTTGATTGATCGCTCATCCTGTAGTTAGTTGATTGATCGCTCATCCTGTAGTTAGTTGATTGATCGCTCATCCTGACTGCACATCGGACAAGTTCTGAAGCACTTGCATCCCATCTTCAGTATCTCCCTCAGCATATGACGACTGACCATAACAGTCCTGAATGAGTTTACTATTCTTCCTTGGCTACCTGTATAGTAGACGGGTGTGGCAACACCTCTTTTGACATGAAGTTCTTGTATCCAGCACCTAAATGGAACTGGAGCCAGTAATATCGGCTTTCAAATGGCTGTGATAGTCTGGCTGCTGCTGATCTCTGGACAAGTGCTATTTTATGTTTTTGTTTCTTTTGTTTCTTTTTTTTTTTTTTTAAATTTAAATGTGAAGACAGAAGCACTTACCTGTTCAATGGAATACTCTTTCCCTGCAACTTCTGCTATTTTAGCAATGGTGGTGATGTAAGCTTGCAGGTTCATCTCCACACACTTCTGGAAGGTCAGTTCTTTCTTGGGTCTTACAGGGATTCCAATTTCTTCTGATAACTGCCAGAAAGAGTGGGAGAGAGTAAATAAGAGTTTGTTACATGCCAAATGTTTTTAAAGTGACTATGATGGCACCTTTATGACTTTCAAGACGTTAATGTCGTACTGCACTATGAGGAGGCCTGAGAATCACGAGTGATGGCGAGTGTGGCTAGCAAGATCCAGCCATGTTAAGAAAAGTCTTCCATAATTAGAGCATGGGATTTCAGCTCTGCGGCTGCCATTATGTATTTAGTGGGATAAAGTGACAAAGGCACAATGAAATGGCAAATATAAGAAACAGGCTAAGAGACAAGTTAATTACATAGCCTTTATAGGACATTGCAACTACCCCAGCATTTGTTGACTGTTTGTAGGTTTGTCTAGGCAATTTCACATTCAGTACTCTGTGACTGTGTTTCTTAACAGTCCATGTGAATACCCTTGTTGAAAACAATGCAAAGTGGCTTGCTGCCCAACCGACTACAGCTGAATCTAACAGTGTATATTTCTTAATTACAAAACTGTGTTCATAACTCTTCAGCAGCAAACACTGACAAAGACATTAGGATATTTATAATATGAGAAAATGGCAAAGAGAAGGATTATATATGAGTCTGAAGTAGATATTAATAATATGAGAAAGATGTTAAAAGAAGGATTATATATGAGTTCTGAAGTAGATATTTATAAAATGAGAAAGAGGCAAAGAGAAGGATTATATATGAGTGAAGTAGATATTTATAATATGAGAAAGAGGTTAAAAGAAGGATTATATATGAGTTCTGAAGTAGATGTTTATATTATGAGAAAGAGGTTTAAGAAAAGGATTTTATATGAGTTCTGAAGTAGATATTTATAATATGAGAAAGAGGCTAAGAGAAGGATTTTATATGAGTTCTGAAGTAGATATTTATAATATGAGAAAGAGGCTAAGAGAAGGATTATATATGTGCTGAAGTAGATATTTATAATGTTAGAAAGAGGCTAAGAGAAGGACTTTATATGAGTTTTGAAGTAGATGTTTATTATATGAGAAAGATGCTAAGAGAAGGATTATATTTGAGTTCTGAAGTAAATATTTATAATGTGAGAAAGAGGCTAAGAGAAGGTTTAAATATGAGTTCTAAGTAGAAATTTATAATACGAGAGAGAGGGGCTAAGAGAAGGATTGTATATGGGTTCTAAATAGATATTTCTAATAGAAAGAGGCTAAGAGAAGGATTCTATATGAGTTCTGAAGTAGATATTTCTAAAATGAGAAAGAGGCTAATAGAAGGATTATATATGAGTTCTGAAGTAGATATTTATAATGTGAGAAAGAAGGACTTTATATGAGTTCTGAAATAGATATTTATAATATGAGAAAGAGGCTAAGAGAAGGATTATATATGAGTTCTAAATAGATATTTTTAATAGAAAGAGGCTAAGAGAAGGATTCTATATGAGTTCTGAAGTAGATATTTCTAAAATGAGAAAGAGGCTAATAGAAGGATTATATATGAGTTCTGAAGTAGATATTTATAATATGAGAAAGAAGCTAAGAGAAGGATTATATATATAAGTTCTGAAGTAGATATTTATAATGTGAGAAAGAGGCTAAGAGAAGGACTTTATATGAGTTCTAAAGTAGATATTTATAATATGAGAAAGATGCTAAGAGAAGAATTATTTATGAGTTCTGAAGTAGATATTTATAATATGAGAAAGAGGCTAAGAGAAGGAATTTAAATGAGTTCTGAAGTATAATATTCATAAATGAAGCATGAGAATTGTCGTCATCAATGAGCAGGTACTTTACAGAATGTCACTACTGTCATGTCATGCCTGAAAGTTTTTTTTTTTCTCTCTCTAATCGATTCTTCAGCCCAATGTGCTTTCATAGTCAATGCATCTTCAGTGTCTTGTATCAACCTTCACAGAGGTCTGGCTCTGACTTGTTTTCTGGAAACTACCCTCCACCACCGTTCTCTCCAGGCTACCATAGTTTATGGCCACATATGACATAGGATGCTGTTTATGAGCCAATTCTCTTTGATGCTCAGATCATGCAGGATACTGTTTTACTTTTTCTTGGTCGATGGTATTCTAACAATTTTTCTGTAGCATTTCATTTAAAAACTTCCAAATTTTTTTCTGCAACAGTTGAGTAAGAATCCATGAATGACATCCATAAGTTGCCACAGACATGGCCAATAAGACAACTTTTTTTGGGGGAATGCCTAGTTGACCCTTGTTTTTAGTACACTTGTTTCCACAGCGAGGTGCACACACCGTCTGGGGGTGACAGGTTAGATTCCCAGCACAGTGACTATAGCTTTCGATTTTTATGTTGTCTAGTGTGTTCTTCTATCTTTCTACTTCTTTCTATAAAGTGCCGATCAATACATTTTCTGTTACTTTATTAATATATAATATTTAAGGGCCTCAAAGGTTCTCCCTCTGTTTATTTATCTCACAGGAAAGATGCACGACATCAGAGTTTTTACTTTATCTGCTGGTGCTGGGCCAGAGGAATTTTTAAAAAAAAAGTAAAGATCCATTTCATGCCTTTAGGTGCATTGGACATATGGGAAAAGCACCCATATTTTTATATACCAATCGGCACTAAGTGGGTAATTTGGTCAGCATTACGGTGGCCGTCTTTACTTCCCCAGGACATATATTCTGGTACTCATTTTAGGCTGGGTCGACCTACGACGCCCCTATACCATTGATAAAAATCCAAGCAGCCAGCTGTGGGTTTCGATCGCTGGTACTTTGGAATTACCAGTCGGACTCTCAACACCTAAGCCACGGACACCACTCTTGTAAGGGAATAGTTGTCCTAAATAATTTTGAAATAAATTACCTCAAGTATCCATAGGGTATTTCTAAAAACACCCCACATTTTCATCTGTATTTAATATACAGTGTATATTGAGGTATATATACATCTAGCACAACTACCATTGCAGGGGCTACACAAGAAGAGATCTGAAGTGAAAGCAAGAGGCTGTCCTAGGAAAACATGGATTGATGACATTAAAGAGCATTTACATTGACACAGAATGACATTAGCCATTGCTGCCCATCAAGCAGTGGATCCCAAACTGATCCTACCCACAACGCTTAATGGCAGAAGTGGCAATTGATGATGATGATGATGATGATGAGATTACTAAGGCTTCATATTGCATAAGATATCAAATGACTGGCATTTGAATATTAGAGCACCTTTATTATAGTCAAGAAACCCAAATATTACATACAAGTATTGAAACTGAAAATTACCTGTTCCCAATGCCTGTTTCTCATTCCTGGATTCCTGAGACCCTGTATGAGCGGAATGTATGGACGGAAGTTTTCAATCATTTCTTTAATTTCAATGGCCACATCCTGGACACCTGAATAAATCACAAATATGTAGATTTTTTAACACTAAAAATCAATATTAAACACATTATTTTCAGTCAGTCAATCAGTCTGTTGCTGACTCCACAGTGAAGGTTGGCTGCAATAGATCTATAACTTGCTCTGTCTCTTGTCCTGGTAGTACACTCTCTCAGGCTGCTGTTTGTCCATCTCTACCCGTAGAAAAGATTTTAAAACATATACACATTACTTCTGCTGTCTCTTATAGTTTCTTTTTTTTTTCACTGATATTTCACTTTTCAATGAATGACCATATATTTATTTTTTGTCACTAGCAAACAGCAATTTCCAATGCAGACTTTTCTTCATGCAATGATGCCAAGCTGTAGAGCATTTTCTTACCAGGTTTTTCCACCTTTTTGTTTCTTCAGTTTTCATTTTGTCACAGTTTATTCCCGTCTTCTTGTTTCTCAATGCGACCATATAATGTAGACCATAAGCATTATCAATATTCTAGATAAGCAATGGTTCATCAACGTCATACAGCAGGTATTTTTTTTTCCAAGAACATCACTCTCCTCGTGACAAGCTGGAAAGCCACCCACTATATTACCAACTTTCCTGCCTGATGAAATTCAAGCCCATGGTGCTCATCCCATCCTTCTGTCCCCCCTCACGCTGATGACCTGGCATCTTTTTCCAGGAACTACACCTTACCATCACTGTCTTCCCTAAACCATTATGGCATTTAATATGGGCAAACACACACATCATGATTGTAACTAACTCAGAAAGAATGTTGAGCTATGTCAGGACAGGCATGCTTCATGCAGAGTGGCATGCTGTGTTTCAGAGGTCACAGCTGAAGAGCATTGTCCAGGAAATGCTGGTGTGTTAGGAAATGAACAGGTAGGCAAACTGGCTTCCATGATAAGACAGATGTGGTTAAGGTCTTATGGATGCATGTATACAATTCAGAGAAGCAATGAAACACAGTCTGGTGTCAGTGATGCAGTGATGAGTGACAAGGGGATCTGGCTGATGCTCGATGCTAAGAGGAAAAGCAAGACAGATGTTTGATCTGACTGCGGCTAGTACTATTGGTGAGAATGGGACTCAGCACTTATGGAAATGCCCCTGTGTTGTGATGATCGTTCTTCAAACAGTTCAACTCAACTCACATGGGTGAAGTATTTCAGTTTCCAAATCAATTTAGACAGGTTAACATTTGGTAGGTTTAGGAGAGGGAAGCTGTGTAGCCAAGTGGCTTGATGATTGCCTGCAGGGCCAAAGGTCTTGAGTTCAAATCAACATTCTAGAAAGTAAAGGCAGCTGAAGTGATACTGACCACATCCGCCATCGAGGACCGAAAATATGAGTCTCGTATCACATGACCAATGTGCTTTTGCGTAAAAAAAATGTTCTTAACTTGTACTTTATTAGATTTAGGAGAAATAAATACTTCATATTATTTCTACTGATAAGAAATGTAAAAGAAGTACTTCATTAAATTCACATAAAATATCATCAGTAGTACTTATTCAACAGATTTTCATCATCGAACCATTCAGTCTGTAAGTGCTCAGATCCCCTCCTTAGTATCTCCCTCAGTATGTATTGGCTTATGACACCAGTTCTGTGTTGGTTTACTATTTTTCTTTGTCCTCTGTGTAGCACTCTTGTCTGGCTTCAACTGTTTTGATGTTATGTTCGTGTAGTCTCGTCAGTGTTGCACATTCACAATCATTACTTGATTTGTTTAATTGAGCAGCCTCTCTGAAGGCATTTAATATATCAGCCCTGTCCATTGCTTGTCATTTCCCACATAAGCATCACTTGCCAGTCTGTCAGCTCGTTCATTGCCCTTTATACCAGAATACACCTGAACAAATATGAAACTGATTTTTTGTCAGCCTAGATCTATTCAGGGATTCAGCTGTAGAACTACCATTAGGAATACATTATTTTCTTATTGTCCCCAAGTGGGATACAATTTTTAGTCATTAGTAGCCTCACCCTGGCTGGCTTTTGCCGGTGGCCCTGAATATAGCCGGGCCATAAATATGGCCTAAAAGCTGAACGGGGGTTTCTGGGACCTCTCCACTAGTGATCCTCATCCGCATGGTGGCACTTTGTGCCATCAGGTATTTATGGCTCTGTGTGATGTCCTGCTGGGGAACAACTTACATACACACATTCCTTTTAGGAATAGAACTCATAGACAGGCACCTGGAAAGCTAAAATTAAAATATATTTTTTTTCATTAAACTATACATACTTACTTGAAATTTCAGAAAACAGCTTGACGCTTTTGTGCATAATCTTGTAGGACTCGTTCACATTCTTCTCCACTTCTTCAGCATTAATAGCTAGCAGAGGATCATTCATCCAAGACTCATGCGATCTCAGCCAGTCTGAGACTGTGACCCACAGATTGCGGAAGGGCTCAAAATCCCTGATCAGTTTTGCCAGCTTGTCATACTAAAAAAAAAAAAAAAAGTAAAATTATATAACTAAATATTTCCATCCTATATTCTTCTTCTTTATCAGCATTCTGAGCCCTTGAGGTTCATTGCTGCAGATATAATCTGCCTCCATTCATCTCTCAGGTTGGCCTCTTTCCAGTTGGTATAATCTGCCTCCATTCATCTCTCAGGTTGGCCTCTTTCCAGTTGGTATAATCTGCCTCCATTCATCTCTCAGGTTGGCCTCTTTCCAGTTGGTGACACTAAGTGTTGCAGATCAGTCAGGTTATTATCTGCTCTCAGGGTTGTTGAGAAATGCACTCTCCCACCGCAGCAAGGTGGGGAAGTATTATCTGCTCTCAGGGTTGTTGAGAAATGCACTCTCCCACCGCAGCAAGGTGGGGAAGTATTATCTGCTCTCAGGGTTGTTGAGAAACGCACTCTCCCACCGCAGCAAGGTGGGGAAGTATTATTGCTCTCAGGGTTGTTGAGAAACGCACTCTCCCACCGCAGCAAGGTGGGGAAGTATTATCTGCTCTCAGGGTTGTTGAGAAACGCACTCTCCCACTGCAGCAAGGTGGGGAAGTATTATCTGCTCTCAGGGTTGTTGAGAAATGCACTCTCCCACCGCAGCAAGGTGGGGAAGTATTATCTGCTCTCAGGGTTGTTGAGAAACCCACTCTCCCACCGCAGCAAGGTGGGGAAGTATTATCTGCTCTCAGGGTTGTTGAGAAATGCACTCTCCCACCGCAGCAAGGTGGGGAAGTATTATCTGCTCTCAGGGTTGTTGAGAAATGCACTCTCCCACCGCAGCAAGGTGGGGAAGTATTATCTGCTCTCAGGGTTGTTGAGAAACGCACTCTCCCACCGCAGCAAGGTGGTGAAGTATTATCTCTCTTTGTTCTTTCCTTTGTTTTTGAACTCTGACTTTCAAAAATTCAAATAGAGGACAAACAGAGGTGACAATTTTCTTGAGGGCTTTTTATTAGGGCATGAAGGCGGTGCTAGCATGTAAAGTAATACAAACTTTTAAAGATTGCAGGTTGATGATGATAATAAAGAAAGGACATTTGCCTATGTCCTGAGGTTTTTTTAAAGGGAGTTTGGGTTGGGTGGGGGGGGGGGGGCTATCTCACATATTTATAGACACATTGGCACTCAGCAGGTGTAAGTAAATGTTTCATTTCCACACTATTAGGTCTGATGCAATAAGTAAAGTAAATTACTCTTTCCAAGGCTGGGCCTCATTGTGCATAAGATGCTTCGCTCATATTTTATATCTAGCTGGTGTCATCAGTCGAGCAAACACACAGGGGGTGAGAATGGGTCAACAGGAATACATACAACAGCAGTTTCTATCAAGTCATTAGCAAATTAGGAAGAGAATGTAGCAAATTGATGTAATGGTGTGGCAGAATTAGAGGTATAACAACTGATAGGTGAGACTGCTGGGCTAGAGTATGCAAGTGTGTGCCAATGGTTCTTTTCATTGGGGATTTCCAGCCAGAGTGAAGGGAAACATCGTGGCAGAACAAAATTATGCTTATTTAAATTTCTTTTTTTTTTTCCACGACTGCACGCATGAGGATTGAGGTGGAGAAAATCACTGCAGCTCTGAAGTGGACAGCACAAAATAGAGGAATTATAATGTCTGATTGTCAGTCAGTGCTGTGGAAGGTTTGGAATGGACAAATGTGGCATGAGTGGATACCAAGCACAAGTACATCAACATTTCATGGACTCACAGAACATTTGGACACCACAGGGGAAAAGATCTCCTGGAAGACCAAGGGAAACTCTACGTAGAACTATCATCAGGGAAGGCTCGCTCATGGGCCACTCAAACATCCAAGACCTACAACAGATTGCAACGAACCGCCATGCATGGAGAGTCATGACCTCTGCCCTATGTGCCGCACTCGACACAAGAGGAAAGACTAACTAACTAACTAAGATGGACATCCTGTCCAGAACATTTGGGAGTGTGAGGCAATTAAAGAGCGGATTTTCTGGCTACAGTGCAATAGCTATGGGAATACTTGTACCAGACAAAAGGGACATTCTAAAGACAGTTTACGAACAAAATGTATTAAACAAATTAAGTTAAGGACCCTTTCCACAACTTCAGGCTTATTGGACATATAGGTCTAGACCTATATTTTCTAGACCAATCAGTACATAGTAGGTTATATACAGAGTGAGCTAAGTTAATGGCACTTACATTTGTGACTGGCATGCCGAATAGTCTCTCTCTGTTGTTGTAAGTGATGGCCATCTGCTGTGCATCCTTTAGCTGCTTGTTGATTCTCCTGACATCATTGGCTATCTCATGGGCTCTGCTGATGTCTGAGTAGGCTGCCATGCCTGCTACTGCCATCTGCGGTAATGTAAGAAAAAGTTTCATGAATGTTTATATGGTGTTTGATTGGTTGGTGGTATGATTGTTTGATTGGTATGTTGGATGATTGAAATTGATTGTTTGATTAGTTGGTTGGTTTGCTGATTGGTTGGTTGCTTGGCTAGTTGCTTGATTAAGGTTGGCTGTTTGACTGGTTGGTTCATTGTTTGGAAGGTTAATCAGGCAACTGGTAGATTGGTTGGGATTGGTTGTATAGTTGAGCAGGTGCTCTGTTGCTTCCTCCTTCCTTTTCCAAGTCTTTCCTGTATGTTTCATTCCTAATTGTTCTTCCTGCTCATATTTTATCCAATCAAGTATTTGTTGTTTCCTACTGATCTTGCTGCTTGTTAAATTTGTGTGTGTGTTTTTTTTTGGTTTTGACTTTGACACAGACACTCTAGGTTAAAAGTTCAGTTGTAATTGTGCACACATTATCTCAGTAATGAGTTTGGTTATCTTCAAAGCACTGTGGACGCGTCCAAAGCTACCTACACTCATCGGCATGGCACATGATGATCATGATAATGTTGATGATATTGGTGATGATTTAGCAGGTGATGTTTTGCTTGATGATTATGATGATGATGAGGTAATGATGATGACAGTGGTGGTAATGATTATAATGATGATAGTATTAGTGGTGATGGTATGGTGATGATATAGACAGTTATGACAGTTTCGTCGCCCAGCTTCTGAGTTGAGTGCATGGCGTGACACTGTGAGCTACGTGTTTTTCTTTTTTGTTGGCACAGGAGCGGAGCAACTATGGGGTGACCCGTTTGCTATGAAGCTGAAACTAGGATTACCAGATTACCAGTCATGATGCAGTTGTTACTGATAAAACTAGGTTACTATCTCCAACTTACTTGAAGACCATCCAGTCTATCCTCAAAGTTGGTCTGATCTGACTGTTGAAGTTTCCTGAATCGCTCCTCATCCTCATCAAGCTGCAGGAGCGTCTGCTCCATCTGTTTTTCAATTTTATGTGGCCAGCCAATGGTTGTCCACCTTGAAGACAAAAATTGTGACAACTTACATTAAATTTTAAAGAGTTAAAATTAGTTGCAGTCACTGGTTAAACATTGTTGGAGTCAAAGGTTGAAGGCTGGAGTCAAAGGTTAAAGGTAGTGAGAGTCACAGTTGAAGATATTTGCAATTAAACATTGTTTACGTATAAATACACAAATCATCATTATCATCACCATCATCTTTTTGTGTGGTTTAAATGTCACATTAAACTCACAGGCTACAGCTATATTCCACTATATTCTTTCCAATTTTGTTTTAGAATCAAGTCCAATACCCTTAACCTTTCTCATGAACATCCATCTTGGACATCATCTTTCTTGTAATCAATTTTTTCCCATATCAGTGTATATTATGTATATTAGGTTATTGTACATGTATGTCTACATATGTGTGTGGGTGTGTATAGTGCATACCAGCCCTCTCTCCAACAACCTTCACTAGCTGCTAGAGTACCTGTCCAAGACACCAGTTTTGGTGCAATTAACATATCTTAGCCAACATAAGTGGCACAAAGAAACCAGACCCCAATTATAACTGATGCTGCTCGCAGTAAGTTAAACAAGGTAGATTTTGTGTTTTGTTTTTCATAAAAAGACAGTGTCTGGTGATTCTCTGTCCATTTCTCAAATCTACACAATAAAAAGTCATCTTCTTTGTCCCATGACAGATGTCCCCAGGGGTTTTTAAAAAGAACTTCAAAACGGCCATTACTGCCTGCATTTATGATTGTTGTGGTGTGTGGTTTGGGGAGGAAAGGGAGAGGGGGTGTTTGAGCCTGAGGATTTAGGGCTGCACTGCTGTTGCCATTGACTGTGCAAGTCAGGATTTTTGTAATATTTTTTACAGAAAACAACAATTTCCCAATCTTACTGAGAGCTCAACCCTGGATCTATTGCTTGAAAGCCCCATGTCCTTACCATGAGGTCTGTCATTATTCTCCAATTGTTGTCCATAGATCCCTTTTTCACGCCCTTAGATCAATCAGCACTCGGTGGGTAATGTGTTCAGCATTACGCTGGCTGTCTTTACTTCCCCAGGACGAAAATCCTGGTACCCATTTTAGGCTGGGTCGATGTGCGACGCCCCAAACCATGATAAAAATCTACTCAGCCAGCAGTGGGTTTCAATCGCAGTATGTTGGAATTACGAGTCCGACTCGCAATGCCTATGCCACGGACGCCAATTGTTGTCCATCCATTTTTCTAATTTGTGTTTTTCAAAGTTTTAGATATCTGCAGTATTAAACCTAAACAAAGTTTGACTATATATAGGAACGTGTAATGATTAAGGCAGACAGTCTGTATACACTATATGAATACATGTTGATGGAAGAGACAGTGGTAGATGAGCCAAGTGTAATGTCACATGATTTTAGAATTCATTATGGATCTGACAGAAAGGATGTGTGGGAGGAAGAGTGAGTATGATGTGTGCAAAACCAATGTGCTACTGGAGCAATAAACATTTATATCTAACATTTGAGCATGTTGAGAAAGATGGAGACAGAGTGGCAAGCATCATTCTGACATCCAGGGTAGTTAGTATCCTTTGGATAGTAACTCCAGGTTATGCTAGTGTGTTGGGAAGTAAGCAGGCAGACAGATTTGCCAGTTCTGCACCACTTGGTGGTGAATTGATCTATGACAAGCTAAATGTGAGGGCCCTCTGTGAGCGAATGAACAGTGCAGAAGTGCAAATAGAACCTTAGGGTCTGAGAAAAATGGATTTATCAGGGGATCTGGCTGCTCAAAACTCAAGGGAAGGTCAAGACAGTTATATAATCAGACAGTTAGTGGTGCCATCAGAATAGGAACTCTTCATTTAATGCTGAAGATGAGGATAGAATGCTTATGGGGGTGTCCCAAATGCTATGAAGTCGATTCTTGATTCAGCATTCAACATTCAATTTATCTAACATTTGTTGTGGGAGATAAGGCATCGACAAGTAACTTCAATATGCTGTACTATCGATTCTTAAATCAGTTATTAGGTACAGATAAATTAAATATGGGAAATAAATTTGGCTGTGGTGATGGTGGCCACATCACCCACCAAATGCCGACTGGCATATTCGAATATAAGTCTAGTATCATAAGGCCACTTCATCACCATTAAAAACTATAATAATACAACATAAACACACACAAATATTGTTGAGGTTCCTGTACTTTTTTTATTATTATTATTATTTACAGATGACTCTTTTTTGAGAAATATCCTGTTTGATAGGAGTCGCTGTGGTGTAGTGGCTAGACGCTCATGTACGGATGGGAAGGTCATGGGTTCACTCCCTGGTGGAGCTGGACTTTTTTCAAAAATGACCTTGACGTCCAGGTCGACCCAGCTTTAAGTGAGTACCGGGTGCAGTTCCGGAAAGTAAAGGCGGCTGGCGTGATGCTTACCACATCACCCATCTTGTGCCGATTGGTCTATAAAAATACAGGTCTAGCCCTATATGCCCTATACACCTAAAGGCATCGAAAAAGGACCTTTACTTCAATGTTTTTTTACTTATCTTGTTTAATCTTTATGGGTTATTTTGGGAAATACTTACTTTTTCTAATGTTGATGTTTTTTTGAAATAATCCATTTACGTCATTTACTTTTCGTTATTTAATACTGCATACGTTGTGTATTAGAATATCTTGGACAAAGAAGATGAGAAATATTGACATCTTAAAAGATCTGAACAAGAATAGTCCCAACACCTCCCTAAAAACCATGTAAAAGTTGACTAACTAGGTGGTTTCCTTTGAAGTCAAAGTGCATCTGCCGGGAGGCAAGGAACTAACAGTACTAGAACAATACTTAAAGTCCAGATGTGGATGAACAACCTGAACATTTTGCCAGAGTTTACAGCCATTGGACATGAAGAAGAAGGAACTGTAACTGTACTTTTTAAATAATTGAGATAACCATATGGTGCAATCTATTTTCAGGAACATTTAAAATGTTGCTGCAGGAAAGACAAAATTACCACAGGAAAGATAAAGTCAGCATAGCAAATATAAAATTGTGACAAGAAAGATAATAATCCAACAGGAAAGACAATGTTGCCGAAGGAAAGATAATCTTGCCACAGGAAAGATAATATAGCTGCAACAAAGATAATGTTTCGACAGGAAAGATAATACTGCTATAGGAATATCAATTAACCACATCAAAGAAATGTGTTTCTAAAAATTATTACTTTAGATAGATTGATGGTATTATGTAAACATCTTATAAATATGTTTATCCTCTCTTATAATTGATTTTTGTAAACGTGTATATCCTCTTTTATAATCAATTTTCTAACATGTTTATCCTCTTTTAAAATCATTTTTGTAAACTTGTTTATTCTCTTTTATAATAAATTTTTACACTCACTTGGCACTGAAGTCATCTGGTGAGAGGTTGTAAAAGAAATCTTCAATCAGCTCATAGTCAGCCATAGCTTTATCTATTAGTTCCTGTAAAACAGAGAAAAATAACATCTATGTAGTCAGGAAATTTAATCAATGACACAAAATACTGAAAACGTCAATGTGTACAGGGCAGATTAAATGAATTTTCTTCTTCTGCGATCATTGCTTATTTTTTTTCAAATCCAGCTGCGACTCGCTGCAGCCACGGTCAGTGTTCAAAACCGGGCGGCTCCCAGGGTTTACCCAGCCTCTAGGTAATGGGTACCAGTGTTGACACTCTGGGGTGAATGGAGGAACGTCGCTGTAGCTACAAAGCTCGGAACAGACTACGACACATGCGGACAGTTTCTCATCAGCTGTCCGTACTGGTGGCAGAGCACTTGTGGTTCACATCTCTCGACTTTACCTTTACCTCTCTTTTTGGCATGGTCATAAACTGGACAGTGCACTTGAAGTCTTTGCTGGTGCCCCATGTAGGTTATTTCTGTGCACCATAAATTTCCTCTCTGACTGGAAAAAATGTGTGCATTCTTGTCAGATACTGCCCTGAATATTGCTTTCAATAAATAAATCTAGAAGTTATGGCTTTTTTCTGTTCCAGGATTTTACCTCAAGCTTTGACACCACTGTGACTCAAAAACCTGCATCCTGGATGCCACTCCAATAAGGCAAATCCAAGATACCATGTTCAAGCTTTTAAGAAGTTATTATTAAGGCACAGAATAATGGGTAGAAGTTATGAAAAGCATCCTGGTGAACAGGTTTAGAAAGTTAACTATATTGTACAACTTTAAACCCACACAACAGACATGCCTGGCAAGCACTTTAACCATGATGCAACAGTGGCTTCTCACAGAAAAATTGTATGTTTTTTGGTATTAACTATTTCGCCCTGAGAAGCTTAAAGTTGGGTGCAGTTGCCCATAAATATCACTTTTCCAACTTATCTAGAGTTACTTGTTTATGGAATGCATGGTTAATGCCTTCATTCACACAAGTGCAAATGTTTAAGAGGTCACAATGTGAATTAATTACCTAACAAAAGCATTGGAAAGAGGGGGTGGGGTTTAATGTAATTTGAGCTAAATGAATTTTGTTACGAAAAAGTTATAAAATATTACAGAACTGAAGCAATAAATAAAACAAATAATAATAATAAAGTAAATAACAGTTTTTATTAGTAGTATAATATTTTTGTTGCTTTTTCACTAACCAAGACTAAGAGTGTTCATTTATTGTCTGTGTGTATTTCTTTCCACTTATATTTCTAGTTGATTTTTATTTATTTGGTCAATCTTCATATAATTTAAACAGCAGTTAAAATATTAATGGGAGCTGCTATGGTGTAGTGGCTATATGCTCGACCGTTGATCAGAAGACAGTGGTTTCGGGTCCTCATGGAGCCGACCTTTTTGTTTTCTTTAAAAAAATTACCTAGCTTCCCAGGTCGACCCAGCCTTGAGTGGGTACCAGGTACAAGTCCTGGGAAGAAAGGCAGCCGGCGTGATGCTGACCACATAACACACCAAGTGCCGAGGGGTCTACAAAATATAGGTCTAACCCAACATGCCCAATACACCTGAAGGCATGGAGAAGGGTCATTTACTTTACTCAAATATAAATAAAACACTTAAATGCAAAAATTTTGAAAAAGTAGAAATGTTTGACTGTGGCCAGAACTGTCTATAATAATGTCAGACCATTTTTTTTTAAACTAAATATTTAAAGCAAAATGTTACAAATTATGGCCAATGCTCAGATAAACTGTAAATTTAAAAGAATATTATAAATTAACAGACTCAAACAAATTACTAGTAATACAAAATTGTATACAGACCTTGTGTTCTTTAAGCATGCCAGGAACGTCCTTGATCCACTCCCTCATTTCTGCGAGCTCTTCAATGCAGTTTGGCTTTTCATACAGTTTACGGCTTATGGTTTTAAACTCTTCACAAGCCTGTAGATAATACAAAAATATCAACCTGAAACATACAAACAGTCATAAAAACATGAGTGACTGCAGTCTAGCTAACACCAAGAAATTTATCCACTGAACTATGACTAAGAAGCTTCACAAGAGGAGAGGGAGGGGAACAACAAATGCACACAAGAAAAATCTGACATTTCATCTGCAGCTTTTCATGAAACCACAACATGAACAAAGGGCAAAGTACTCTGGCCACCCTAAGCTTGGACTGGTCAGGTACTCTGCCCTTTATTGCTGTTGTAATAAATGTCAAGAAAGGCTCTTGCCTGACTGATGGTCTTAAACTTTTTACAAGCCTGTAGTTAGTGGTATACCTTTTACAGGACACAAATCAACCACAGCATGTGTTGGCTGTTTATGATTTTACTGGACAATTTACATTTAGTAGTTTGCCTATGCTTTCTAAATGAGTTTATGCACTACCTTTATTGAAATCAGTACAAAATAGTCTACTGTCAAAGTGTCTATAACTTACTTTAAACACTGCAATGGCAGAATTATTGATCTGTGTTTATAATTCATACACCACAGATTCAAGTAGAGAATTATAAAATTATTGACCAAAAATAATGAAACAATTGGCTCTTCTTTCAATACCGGACGGTAGCTGGACGGCTTAGTTCGGCTTAGTGGGAGTTCTCTCCCTTGGCCGCATTGCAAACAGGGTGCGGAAAAGTCAAGAATTAAATGACATACGTACCTATCATCATACGGTTGCGTGTAGGGTTGCGTAGTCATCATACGGTTGCGTGTAGGGTTGCGTAGTCATCATACGGTTGTGTAGGGTGTAGGGTTTGGGTTAGGGTTAGGGATAGGGTTAGGGTTAGGATTAGGGTTAGGGTTAGGGTTACTAAGGGTTAGGATTAGGGTTAGGGGTAGGGTTAGGGTTAGTTAGGGTTAGGGTTGGGTTAGTGTTAGGGTTAGGGTTAGGATTAGGGTTAGGGGTAGGGTTAGATGTGACAATTTTGACATAGCAGTTCCATATACTGGCCGACAATCTGATGCTTGTGGGAGTGGCGCCACTGGAAATCTCCCAAATATGACAGCAATAGCACGCGGCTGGTGCCCAATCGGTGGCGAATTGTCCGTTTGAGTAGCATCCACAGTCCTTCGATTGTTTGGGTGTGTATGTGACTGTGCGAGATTAGTCGGAACTCCTGCGTCAAATTTGTCACATCTAACCCTACCTCTAACCCTACCCATAACCCTAATCCTAACCCTAACCCTAACTAACCCTAACCCTACCCCTAATCCTAATCCTAATCCTAATCCTAACCCTAACCCTAAGTAACCCTAAACCTAACCCTGACCCTGACCCAAACCCTACACCCTACATGCAACCGTATGATGACTACGCAACCCTACACGCAACCGTATGATGACTACGCAACCCTACACGCAACCGTATGATGACTACGCAACCCTACACGCAACCGTATGATGAAACCGTATGATGACTACGCAACCCTACACGCAACCATATGATGAAACCGTATGATGACTACGCAACCCTACACGCAACCGTATGATGACTACGCAACCCTACACGCAACCGTATGATGAAACCGTATGATGACTACGCAACCGTACACGCAACCGTATGATGACTACGCAACCCTACACGCAATACACGCAACCGTATGATGAAACCATATGATGACTACGCAACCCTACATGCAATACACGCAACCGTATGATGAAACCGTATGATGACTACGCAACCGTACACGCAACCCTACCCGCAATACACACAACTGTATGATGACTACGCAACCCTACCCGCAACCGTATGATGATAGGTAAGTATGTCATTTGATTCGTGACTCTTCCGCTCCCTGTTTACAATGCAGCCAAGGGAGAGAACTCCCACTAAGCCGAACTAAGCCGTCCAGCTACCGTCTGGTATTGAAAGAAGAGCCAAACAATTTATAGTGGATGGCCTTGAACTTTTTCAAACATTAAATCATTAAGAAAATTCAAACGAAAATAGCAAAACAATTTCAAGAAAACCTAGAAATGTGTTTTATTTAGTGAGGCTTGAAACGAAAACCTCAAAAGTGTTTTAGAAATTACAATAGTCATGCCACTGTTTTGTAACCTGTCAATATTGTGGCTAATTAAGTAGAGAGTAGTAAGCACATGATGTCAGGGTGCAGATAAACACAGTCAGAAGCCCCCTCATAATAAGCGTTAATTCTTTTAGTTTCAGGAGATTTAGCAGAAGGTGCCTAATGGCTCTAATCACAATGAAAAAGCAGCTTGGATGTTTTATTGTAAAAAAGGCATATACTGTATTCCACGTTTCAACATCTAGCCAGATCTCTTGTAGATTTACAATAACTGTAAAAAAAATATATGTATAATAACAACTGGATGCAAAGCTGGAGACAAAAGGACAATAAGTGATTCCATGTGATCTATTGTTTGAGACCGAAAACTTTAGATTTTAAATGAAGGTTAGCTCATAAACTGATATATGTTGTTCAAGATCACAAACAAAATAAAAAGATTACCAATGTAAGTTAACAGGACAGGTGTTGATTATGATGTACATACACATATGTAAAACAGCAACCAACAGTGAACATCACAGTAAACAGAGCAATATTGGTTCAAGTAACAAATGTCTTCTATCTCGGACATGTAGTGGCAGATGATAGCAGAAGTAAAAGGAAGAGACAACAGAAATGGCTACAACTACCTTCAATAAAATGCAAAAAATATCGACAGCTAGAGAGATAAACAACATATTAAAAATGAAAATCAGCAAATGTTATGTATGCTCAACCATGCTGTATGGAGCAGAAACTGCTCAAAGAGACAAAGCAAGTTGCAGAACAATTGCAGTCAATCTTCATTGTAGAGACAGCATCTGGCTGATTGACTGACACATGTGTATGTAAACTAGTTACTAGTACTCACATCATCAGCTTGTTTCCTTAGTTGTCTAGCCAGTAACTCCAAGACATTGAGAAACAGAAGACCAAATGGTTTGGTCATCTAGTAAAAATGCAGCCAGAACAACTACTAAAGCATGCATTACACACAAAAATATCTAAAGTGAGTGCAAGAGGCTGCCCTACTAGTTACTAGTACTCACATCATCAGCTTGTTTCCTCAACTGTCGAGCCAGTAACTCCAAGACAGCATTCCCAAGAGCTTTCTTCTTCTTCCCCAGTGCCTGTCTGGTGCCCTCAGTGTTGATGTAGAAAGGACCTATAACGATATGGCTTGGGACAATGGCCTCCAGGACTTCTTTCTCCCTCAGATGTTTCTCGATCTCTGCTTTTGCTTCCTCAGCAGAGTGACCTGCACTTTCATAGGTTCTAATGAAAACAGATTACAAATTAATTTATGAAACTTGACTATATATCTACTAATAAAAACACTTGCGCGGATTTTTATCATGGTATGGGGCGTCAAAGGTCGACCCAGCCTAAAATGGGTATCAGGATGGCTGTCCTGGGAAAGTAAAGACGGTCGGTGTAATGCTGACCACAGTATCCACCTAGTGGCATTGGTCTGTAAAAATAGGGGTGCTCTTCCCATAAGCCTGATGGGCCTAAAGGCATGAAAAGGGATCTTCATTTACTTAACTTTTTAATGAAAACACTAATGAATTAACCCCTGTGAAATTAAATGCCTGAGAACAGCCACCAACTTTACCATCTGAGATGACGTTAGAAATGATGTTATCAGACAGACTGTAGGAACAACACCAAGCAGCAAATTCATTGAGAAACAGAAGATCAAATGGTTTGGTCATCTAGTAAAAATGCAGCCACAACAACTACCAATGCAGGCACTACACAAGAAAAGATCTGAAATGAAAGCAAGAGGCCGCCCTAGAAGAAGATGGATTGATGACATTAAAGAGCTTTTACATCAACAGAAAATGATAATAGCCATTGCTGCCCCTCAAGCAATGGATCGCAAACTGTTCCTCCCCACTTCACTTAATGGCAGAAGTGGAAATTGATGATGATGATGAATGAAAGCAAGTGATAAATCTACTAGTAAAAATGATTATAAATTCGCTAATAAAAACCAGTTATAAATTCAATAATGAAAATAGACTATAAATTCACAAATAAAAATAAATTATAAATCTACTAATGAAAACAGATTATAAATTCACAAATGAAAACAAACTATAAATCTACTTATCAAAACAGATTATAAAGTCACTTGTGGAAAAAAAGATTATGAATCTACTAATAAAACCATATTATAAATCCCCTAATAAAAAGCAATTATAAATTTATCAAAGAAAACAGGTAATAAATTAATGCATTTGATAAATATAAATATAATGCCACCTGCCTACATGTTACTGAGATTCATAAAGGAAATAAAGAATAGTAACACTGTAATCTAACATGCATATTGTACAAGACAAGAAGGGTTGGCGTAAGACTAGCTACTTCAACCAACAGAAAACTGTAGCTGCTAAAAACAATATACCATGAACAATTTTACACATTTTTTCATCAGTATATTCAGGTTTTACCTTCACTGAGATATGAAATGCAGAAAAATAAAATAAAATTATGTACATCTTGGAAGCTGAAGCAGTCATGATTACAAGGTTGCCTGCTGACCAGTGGTCACAAGTTTAACTTTTATATTTTGGTGGTCTTCCAGGTTGACCCAGCGTAAGCATGGGGACTATGAAATTTCTAGGGCAGTTATAGCAGACACTGTGATACTGGCCACATCATTCATCTAGAGACAACTGGTGTATCAAAATATGGGGAACAAATACATCCAATACACCACAGTGCATGCATCATTATGGCCTCCAGAGAATGAGGCACCTGGGTGTAACCAGAGGGTCTGGCCGGCTCACTACACTCAAAGGAAAGGCAAGACGGACATACAACCAGATTGTGACCGGCACCATCAGCATTGGAACTCTGCACTGGCTGCTGAAGATGAGGGTGGAGCACACATGGGAATACCTCAAGTGCTGTAATGTCAGTTCTTGACTCAACTCAACTCAACCACAGTCCACAGAGATGGGTCCTTTGTTATTCATGTACTCAGAATACTATAAACTTTTAAAACCTTAACTTTAAAAGACCCTTTTCACATCTGTAAAGCATCAAGAAGATAGTACTAGAACTAATTTCTTATACAGCATTCTGCATTCAACAGGTGATGTGAACAATTTCCTGGCCATCTGACAAGGTAGCCATTTTAGACTGGGTTGACCTAGGAGCCAAGGTCAATTTTGATAAAAAATCTGCCTTGATGTGAAACATGCCAGCATAATATACAACAAAACTTACTTCTCATGCAGCAAAGTCACTTGATATATAACACACCCACTGTCTTTGCCTCTGACTCACTTGATATATGCATTGATGTCCATGTTGATCAGCTCCAGATATTTCTCATATTCACGGGCATAAGCTTTCAGTGGCAGAAGTGCCTGCCTGATTGCATGCCTGACTGTACTTCGGAGCTCTTCAACAGGAGGCTCATGCTCCCCAACAGATTCCAAGAGAGGAATGCCAGACCAGAAAATCTCCTGCAGTATTTCCTATTGATCAAATATAGACAGGCTGAATGCATTCATCACAACAATAAACTGAATTTAATAGTCTGGTTTTGTGGCTTAAAGATTGGTGAATGTGTTTAAAAATCCTTGATTTACCAGGGTTTGATCTCTGTGAACTAATGTGTTTTAAAATCCTTGATTTACCAGGGTTTGATCTCCGTGAACTAATGTGTTTTAAAATCCTTGATTTACCAGGGTTTGATCTCTGTGAACTAATGTGTTTTAAAGTCCTTGATTTACCAGGGTTTGATCTCTGTGAACTAATGTGTTTTAAAGTTCTTGATTTACCAGGGTTTGATCTCTGTGAACTAATGTGTTTTAAAGTCCTTGATTTACCAGGGTCTGATCTCTGTGAACTAATGTGTTTTAAAATCCTTGATTTACCCGGGTCTGATCTCTGTGAACTAATGTGTTTTAAAATCCTTGATTTACCAAGGTTTGATCTCTATGAACTAATGTGTTTTAAAATCCTTGATTTACCAGGGTTTAATCTTTGTGAACTAATGTGTTTTAAAGTCCTTGATTTACCAGAGTTTGATCTTTGTGAACTAATGTGTTTTAAAGTCCTTTATTTACCAGGGTTTGATCTCTGTGAACTAATGTGTTTTTAAGTCCTTGATTTACCAGGGTTTGATCTTTGTGAACTAATGTGTTTTAAAGTCCTTGATTTACCAGAGTTTGATCTTTGTGAACTAATGTGTTTTAAAGTCCTTGATTTTCCAGGGTTTGATCTTTGTGAACTAATGTGTTTTTAAGTCCTTGATTTATCAGGGTTTGATCTCTGTGAACTAATGCATTTACCAGATACTTGATCCCGCTGTCAGCTATCAAAGTTCTCTCACACATCTGCTCAGCCACACCGACTGTTTCCTATCACAGTCCCCCACAGAAAAATCAGTTCTTTTTTTCTCCTGCCCTCTTGTCCACTTTCCTTCATGAGATTTCACACAATCATTTACTCATGCATGTGGAACTTATAATCCCCCTTGAGACACTCTTTCCTACTAATTCTTTCCTAACTGGTTTTCAAATTCTTGGCCCGTCTCACTGGAAAACCCCTTCTAACATCATAGAATTTCACACTCGTTATAACTATGCAGTCAAAAAAAAACTCTACCAGTCTTAGTCTTAGTCTTATTTGAGGTTTCAACATCACAACAATCAGGTTTTTCCATACTTGCTTCTTTCTTGTGCCAGTGAAAATCAAATAAAATGTCTCTGAGTGTCTCTGACAATAGAATTACCGTCCAAATGTGTAAACTGTCTTCGGAAGCAAAAAATAACTTCAAAGCTTAACATTCTGCCAAGCCTAATCTGCCATTTTTATCACCCTCCCCCCCCCCCCCCCACCCCCAGTACCAAACCTGTTATATATGCACAGCCACGACTTCTTAAAGTTGTAAAGCAAAACAAATATGGGGAAGAAATGATAAGCCAATATTTCGTGACTTATGGGGCAACAGGGTTAAAGGTTAGAGGGTCATCTTCACCGCACTGAATTTTTACCGCACGGCTTAGCCTCGAAAAGCTGTTTTTCTGCACTGCAATGCACAAAGGTTAAATTCACAGGAATTTCAAAGCATATGGACTCTCAAATCAAATGTCATTGTCTGAAACTGAGCCCACAAACTTTAAAGAATGAAGCAAACAGTTTAACCACTTTGTCATGGGGGTTTGTAGTAAAAGCCAATAGAGTATCTTTAGTGCAAGACAGCCTAGCTTACGACATCACAACATCTAGCATGAGAATGGAGGTGGAGGCAGTAACTGCAGCTCCCCGGTGGCTAGAGAACAAGATGCATACACATGTCGTAATTGTAACAGACTCTGAAAGCATGCTGAAAAAGGTGAAGACGGAGATGCTTCGAGCAGAGTGGCAAGCTTCAGTGGGAAGGTCATGGGTAGTTTGCATACTTTGGATCTTTTCTCCAGGCCATGCTGGCGTAGTGGGTAATGAACAGGCAAACTTATTGGCTGGATCTGCACCACTGGGTGGTGAATTGATACATGACAAGGCAGATATGGTCAAGGCCCTTTGGAAAAAAACAAGCAACAGCATCAGTAGAAAAACAACATTATTAAGGCCTGGAGAGAATGAGACAACTGGATCTGGCCGGCTCACTACACTCAGAGGAAAGGCAAGACAGAAATGTGACCAGATTGTGACCGCTAACCTCAGTATTGGAACTCTGCGCTGGCTGCTGAAGATGAGGATGGAGCACACATGGGAATGCACCGAGTGCTGCAATGTCAATTCTTGACTCAACTCAACTCAGCTCAACTAATAGAGATATCCTAAACCTGTGGCAAACAACTCACCCTCTCCAGCTGAGGTACATTCTGCGTAGCTTGGATGCCTTTGTCAAAGAGATTGATTAGTGTTATCTCAAAGTTGGACAGGTTTGTACTGAAATGAACACCATCTTTGTCTATCACCAGATCAATCAGGAAGATGGCATTCTTGCGAGGCCTAGAAAGACACAGAAACATTCGTGTAATTTAGTTTATTTCCTCGCCTGCTCTCCTACTTCTCATTTTCCATGAATATGGTACATACTGTATGTTATGGGTGCCATCACAGCTCAGTGACGAGGTGCTAGACCAGCGGTTCTCAACCTGTGGGTCACGACCTCTTTGGGGATCAAAGGACTTTTCACAGGGGTTGCGGTTGGGGATCACCACAACATAAGGAACTGTATTGAAGGGTCACAGCATTAGGAAGGTTGAGAACCACTGTGCCTGACTGGCAGCCAGAAGGTCTTGGATTTTAATCTTACCCTTATGTAGACTCAGACTAATCAAATATTATGTTTCCCTAAAACGAAGAGGTCAGTAAAGGACCCTCTTCCATGCGTTCAGGCATACAAGGCAATTTAGGATCGATCTATATTTTATAGATCAATCAACACCCAGTGGGTGAAATGGTCAACATCAAGCTGGGCACCTTGACTTCCCAGGACTACACCTGACCCACTCAAAGCTGGGTCAAATTGGGAGCCAGGTCCTTTTTTGGAAAAATGTCTGGCTCCGTCAGGACCCAAACCCAAGAGCTTTCAATCTGCAGGTAAGCATTTAGCTGCTACATCACAGTGGCTCCCCCCCCCCCCCCCCCCCCAAAAGACCTTACCCCAAAATAAGCCTAGCATGATTTTCCAGGATGCTTTTAATATAAGACCTACCCCAAAAATAAGTTGTAGCAAAATCATCTGCTAGAATGAGAGACTTTTGCCGAATGGAGCCAGTCTGTGTACAGATTCCAGCAGTGCACACTTGAACAAGATATGCTCATTTAAGAAAAGCTTTACTGCTGGTCATGAGAGACTGGAGCCAATGGTTCTACAGGAAATGAAGTCTCAAGAAATTATGGCCAGAATCAGGATTTGGAGAGTTATGAAGATGTTTCAGAAAATGATGACATAACTTTATTTAAATAAATGTAGATTTGTGTCCATGAATAAATGTAGATTTGTGTCCATGAATAAATATAGATTGTGTCCATGAATAAATGTAGATTTGTGTCCATGAATAAATGTAGAGTTGTGTCTATGAATAAATGTAGATTTGTGTCCATGAATAAATGTAGATTTGTGCCCATGAATAAATGTAGATTTGTGTCCCTAAATAAATGTAGATTTATGACCATGAATAAATGTAGATTTGTGTACATGAATAAATGTAGATTTGTATCCATGAATAAATGTAGATTTGTTTACACGAATAAATGTAGATTTGTGTATCTAAAAGAACAAAATAAGACATTTCCAAACAGGGTAGATAGGTGAAAAGTAATTATTCCCCTTCATTATTGCTGTCCGTAGGATCAACATCTCAAGTAAGGTTGATAATGAAACTGGAGCACACTATGTACACAAAATTCAAGACAGGTGTATCAGCCATGTGCACCTGTGGAAAGGCGCACCAGACAGCAGAACATGTAATCCAGGACTGCACCAAATTTGATACATTAAGGCAAACCTTTTGGCCAGAAAGAACAACAGTGGAATATAAACTCTATGGACCACTGAACAAACTAAAAATGACAGTGATATTTACACAAGAGACAAAATTGTTGATATAGACAACTTATTTCAGGCGAACAGGGGGCTGCATAGTCTTGAGGCATGGTGTTCGTCTCTAGTGCTAAAGGTTCTGGGTTCAATCCCTGGTATAGGCTAGGATTTTTTCACGTGGACTCGGACTTCTAGTGATTCCCCCTGGTCTCTGGGTAGTGAGATCAGATGCCCGTGTGCATTGTTGCGAACATAAAAAAATCCCTTGGCAGTTGGAAATTGAAAAGAGTAGCCTGCGGCACTGCCCGTGTGAAATCTGGAGTTGAAAATCTACCCAAAGTATTTCAGGATCCTCACTGGTACTACAGAGCCTGTGCACTGTGCTGAGTTTCTTTGGACTCAGACTTGAGTTAGAAGAAGAACGGAGCACTTATGGGTTATACCCGTAGGCCATTATGTTGATTCGTTGTTTAAATCTCAAACCTCAAACTTCAGGCGAACGAAAGAAGAAGGATAAGAGCAAATTCCAGAAACTCTGTTCCACAATATAAAACAGTTATACTAGCACACTTCTACAGCTACAATATAGCCATAGTCAAAAATGTAGATGGCAGGATACAGGTTAGGTAACTGATAACCAATTGTGATCAGTTTGTTTCCTCCAGGCTGCTACATTAAAATTTAACCACACCATTCTCAGTTTTTAACATCTCAGTCTGGACGGCAGACAAACAAGGTAAATTCCAGATACCTGTTCAACCTCCAAAATAATTATAATGAGAGCACCCGTAATGACTAAAGTAGCCAGGTGTAGTATTGCGTGCTGCATTCACTGGGCTGGTCAGAGGCCTTATCACCTACACCAGTCGTAACAGTCGTTCTGTATCAGTATCACCAGTTCATGTTCATCGTCATACTGTGTTTCGTCCTAATAAACAGACTGATGCACGATTAAAGAAATGACTCTTCCCATATTGTTGATGTTGTTGGCTGCGGACTGTTCTCAGTGTTAGTGTATGATAGGACTATGAGAACTGTGTACCTAGTACTTCAAGGTAGGGAACCCCATTAGTCACCAGGAGGTTGGCTTGGAGGGAACTTACATATTTGAGTGAGGCATAATCAGTCACATTTAGACACTTGGTTAGGAAGCGATACACCAACTACATATCCCTTCGCAACATGTAGCCTGCAGTTCCATGAGGGTAAGGACACAACTGATAATTTTACTGAGGCTACAGACTGTAGGTAAGGCAATTAGTCATATGTCTTTTCAACTGTTTCAATCCCAAGGCATGTATGTTGTGTGACTGGTTCTTCTGAATCCCAACCATCACATTATGTATTATCTGATGTTTTCACATTTTTGGTCACTGTATACTAAAAACATCTGGCTTTTTCTAGATGTCACTATTTGGAATGAATACACAATTATTGACCTTTTTCTGGTCATCTGCTATTAAACTTTCATGGAAAAGCTGATATCAAGAAGTAACTTAAACAATTACACGAAAACTCAGAGAGAAAAAAACATTTTTATATTTATGTTTTTCCCTCCATGATAACGCTGACAGATTAACACCCAGGGACTCAGTGAGTCACCTTCTGGATGAAAATCCAACAGGAGCAAATCATAGGAACCTTGTTCAACTATATAACACAGTTATATTCAAAAGCTTTATGGCTATTATGTAAACTACAATTCTTCTTCTTTTCTTTGTCCGAGTGATGTGGTTGCACTGTGCCTGTTTACAGCAAAGCTGCAATGTTTCCAATGTTTCGGCCAACACATTCGACTTCATCAGGAATTTGTTAAATGGGTTAACATTCTGAAACCTGCAGTTCATTCTGAGTTGGTGGGGACTAATAATAAAGGAAAAACACATACAAATATAGCCAAATGTTCTGACCAGAGTATTTGTCAAAACAACAGAATTACAAATAATTGTTTATTATCAAACAATTGTTCAGACTAGTTGCACATTTGGCTGTGTTTGTGTGAACCTTCCCATTTACCTGCCTCGAGTTTTCTCAGATAACAATGTTTTGTGGTAAGTGCTTTTATCCTACCTATTTACAAACAACATACTTGATTTTGCTAGTCAACAGATCACTCCCCCAGACAAACTCTTCATCCAGCTCAATGGCCGAGTTGCTAGCATCAACAATCATCTGGGTAAAGTTCACCAGTGAGTCTTGGACCAAAAATCTCATTGAATCCTGGAATGTGCAGGAGATAACTATCATAGCAAAATGAAAGAGCAACCAAAATATTTTGTGTAACCAAAAATGTGGACTGCTGATTGCAATTTTATAAACAAAAATGTGGACTGCTGATTGCAAGTTTATAAACAAAAATGTGGACTGCTGATTGCAAGTTTATAAACAAAAATGTTTATGGAGAAAATGCTTTGTGAAAAAATTTTTTTAAAGGTTTAAAGAAGGTTAATTCTGAACATTGTAAGAATGTTAGTGATTACAGAAACAAGTTTACTTGTAGGTGTTTATATGTATTATAGGTTAGGTTTAAGTTAGTCTCCCCAAACAAAGGAGGTCATTTTTAATTCACAAATTTGTTGGGCTGGTCTAATTTCGTGCATGTTATGGGTGTACCTGTCTGTTGTTTGCTTTCTGGCTTGTCTTGCATTTACATTTTTATTACCAAGAAAGAGAATGAATGTGATATAGGCTGCAGCACTCTCTAGAAGGTTTTGTGTTAGACCCAGTTTGTTCATGTTTTTGGAGTGCTAAAAGCGCTGGCGTGCTGAAGTATACATGTGATATCAATGGCATTGCCGAACACCCCCGTAACCTTGTGCCAAGATGACAGGTTCAGAAACTACCAATCACAAGTGAGCTAGTTTGTATATGGGCGGTTCGTGGGGAGACTAACGTTAGTTTTACCGTACTGTATATGCAAGTATAGCATGTTGATTTTTCTTTAGTTGTTTGTTCTGAGCTTTTTTGTGAAAAATATGAGAGGATGACATAAGTTCTGTATTGGTTTATTATTCTTTTTGATTTCCTGCCTTGTGCACTTGTTATATCTCAAACATTTTAAACTGATGTTCTGGTCATGGCTGCACAATCCCAGTCATCACTCAATGCTGAATGTTGAATTCAACATCACTCATCACTTGAATCATCTCTCAATGTTGAATTCAACATCACTCATCACTTGAATCATCTCTCAATGTTGAATTCAACATCACTCATCACTTGAATCATCTCTCAATGTTGAATTCAACATCACTAATCACTTGAATCATCTCTCAATGTTGAATTCAACATCACTCATCACTTGAATCATCTCTCAATGTTGAATTCAACATCACTAATCACTTGAATCATCTCTCAATGTTGAATTCAACATCACTAATCACTTGAGTCATCACTCAATGTTGAATGTTGAATTCAACATCACTAATCACTTGAGTCATCACTCAATGTTGAATGTTGAATTCAACATCACTAATAACTTGAGTCATCACTCAATGTTGAATGTTGAATTCAACATCACTAATCACTTGAGTCATCACTCAATGTTGAATATTGAATTCAACATCACTAATCACTTGAGTCATCACTCAATGTTGAATGTTGAATTCAACATCACTAATCACTTGAGTCATCACTCAATGTTGAATGTTGAATTCAACATCACTAATCGCTTGAGTCATCACTCAATGTTGAAAGTTAAATTCAACATCACTAATCACTTGAGTCATCACTCAATTCATGCATATCTTGTGTGTATTCAGTACTTCAGGCTGGTCCAGTGCCCATCCGCTCTCACAGTAGCTGCAGGGAGTCTCATTCAATTAAAATGGAGGACTGCAGTAGCCTGGGACCTCTCCAATTTCAGTAAGTAAAGTAAAGGTTCCTTTTCCGCGCCTTTAGGCATATAGGGCACATAGAGCTAGACCTATATTTTTATAGACCAATCGGCACAAGATGGGTGATATGGTCAGCATCACACCAGTCGCCTTTACTTCCCGGGACAGCACCCGGTACCCACTCAAGGCTGGGTCGACCTGTCAAGGTCATTTCTGAAAAAAAGTCTGACTCTGCCAGGGAGCAAACCCACGACCTTCCGATTTGCATGCAAGTGTCTAGCCAGCTACGCCACGAAGACTCCATCCAATTCCAGTGGGTTAAGTTAATAATGATGAGATAAGACAAAAGGAGGAAGAACAGTTCAGAACAGGCTTGTTTATTGTCATTCCATTACTAGTGTTGGCTCTGTCTGTTGTCATTAACTTGTCTGAGGGGTAATTCCTCAGCTGATCTATCTTTCTAGTCACAAAAGTAAATCAGATAGTTACATAACTGTGCTTTTAGTTAAAATAAAAACATAATTCGCTACCATTCAATGTCAATGAATCCCAACAAGCATTCTCGTTCACCTACGACAATTAGCAGCTTTCTCAATCCTCTCAACTATTATTGTCCCCGCTCACCAGATACTTCTTCACAATATCAGCCATTCAGATTCATGTAGGCATTTGATTCCTCCGGATCATCCACTTTCTCTTGCTGTCTCCCACTTACTCACTTTGCCACTCAGGAATTTCAAACATGATTCACTACCCCCCACGGTGAATATTCCTGATACCCTTTCACACACGTTATCCCGTCAACCAGTCACCCCTTCTGGTTAATTGTTTCCTAGCTGGCCTCTGACCTCTTAACCTATTTCCTTGGAGATCCCTTCTGAAGTTACGGAATTTCCCACTCACTACAGTAGCCCTGCTGACCTTTGTTAATTTTAATTAAATGTTAATGTTGATTTAATTTTGTTGGATATTTTCTCCAGGCCATGCTAGTGTGTTGGGAAACAAGCAGGCAGGCAGACTGGCTGGTTCTGCAGCACTAGGTGGTTAACTGATGTATGACAAGCTAGATGTTGAGAGTGCCCTTAGGGAGTAATGAACAGTGTGGAGGCACAAACAGACCATTACAGTCTGAGGAAAATGGTGCTGCGGGGAGTTGTCAGGGAATCTGGCCGACACTCAACACTCAAGGGAATGGATAGATGGATGTAAATTCAGGCAGTTCTGCTGCTGCTGCTGCTGCTGCTGCTGCTGCTTCTTCTTCTTCTTCTTCTTCTTCTTCTTCTTCTTCTTCTTCTTCTTCTTCTTCTTCTTCTTCTTCTTCTTCTTCTTCTTTCTTCCTCCTCCTCCTCTTCATCCTCTTCTTCTTCTTCTTCTTCTGCTGCTGCTGCTTCTTCAGCATTCTGAGCCCTTGATGTTCATTGCTGCAGATATCACCTACCTCCATTCATCTCTGTGATTAGCTTTCTATTTCCAGTTGGTGACACTAAGTGTTTGCAGGTCTGTCTGATATTATCTCTCAATCACCTTCTTAGTCTGCTTCCTGGTCTACGACCATTTAGCTCCCCTGTGTATGTAGTTTTTTTTTCTCTATCATCAGACATTCTGTCAAGTTGCCCGAGCCATTTCAACCTATTAGCTCTCATGATGCCAGTGATCAAAAGTGATTTAAATAAATTATGAATTTTGTTGTTGCTTCTCATTCTCCATTCCCCACTTTTTACATCTTTGATGGGTCAAAAGATTCACCATAAGACTGTTTTAGAAAATTTGTAATAAGGCTTCATCTCTTTTAGTTGTGCTCCAAGTTTCATAGCCATATAAAACAACTGGTCTTATCAGTTGTGAGACAGAGACTTGACTTTAGCAGATGCTAAAGGGAATAGTATACTTTACTTCCAGATAAAATTCTAGATTGCATTTTTTTCTCTCAGCATGTTGGAGCAGTTGAAGTTTGCATCCAAGTACTTATATGTTTCCTTTCGTTTAATTTTCATGTTATTGATTTGTATGTGGCCAGAGTTTATATCCTTTCCCTTTCTTGGTATTATCATGTATTCTGTCTTACCTTGATTGGTAACTAGCATAAAGGGATAAATAGTATAATGACTTATTCAGCTGTATTATGAAATAAAACTGACCTGCATTATGAACTTGACTGTCTCCATGAACTTCTTCAGCTTTGAAATCTGGTACACCTCCCAGTTAGTCTCATGAATGTTAAACCAACCTTTGCCAACATCACGAAGTGCACTACGAATACTCAGTTTTAAAGAGCTTATCCAGCTGTCTCTGAGAGAAAGTCCCACCTGAAGAAGAATATATATAATAATGATTTATGATCATTAGAAAGATGCCCAAATCAGAAAGAGACAATCTACATTTTCTGGTCATGTAATGAGAAGGAGAAAACTGGAGTACATCGTGACAGTAGAAAAACTGGAAGAGAGGAGAGGCAGAAGGAGACCAAGAGAAATGTTGTTGGACAGTCTGACATCATGGCATGGAGGATCATCTGTGTCAGAGTTGACTGAAAGTACTTGAGACAGAAGGTTGTGAATAGACATGGCTACTAATGTTACACAGCATGGACTTTAAGAAGAAGATTACGATTGATAAGAACTGGCTGTTTCTGAAATCTGGCAGACTCGTTGAACCTCAGAAACACAAATATCAAACAAAGCAGATCTGATCACTAGAAATGGAAAGACCTGATAAAATAGTCAACCTTAACTGGGTGATGCAATGACAAACAGCATTATGGGACCACAGACAGGTAAATTATAATATTTCCTCATATGGGTTTTATGCCCAAAATCTGCAAGTTACCTGTGCTGTCATCTGGGACTGTGTTTGCTCAAACTCTTCGAGTCTCATTGGTTTGGCACTTGGGATGTGGAAGAGACTGGTGCAACTGACCCGATTACATTCTGTTCTGACTTTGCTCATGGCCTGAATACTTTCAGATAAGGTCAGCAGGGAGTTGAAAGCAAAACTGTCATACTGGGCATCAAATGTGTAGGCAGGAACATCAGGACAACATCCTGTAGAACATATTGTTGAATTATAATGAGAATATAGTAGACGTTTCATGAGACTCAGGTAGACTTAATGAGAAAATAACATGTTTTTACTGAGAAAATGAAAGAAACTTAATGAATCTAGCAGAATTTAAATGAGAATATACTAGAATTTTACTGAAAATCTAGTTTAATTTTCTTGAGAATCTAGAAAATATTTCTTAAGAATCTAAGATAATTTTAATGAGAATCTACTACAATTTATATGATAATCTTGTATAATTTAAACGAAAATATAGTAGAATTAAAAGGGAATAAAGAAGAATTTTAATTAACATAGAAGAACTTTAAAGAAAAATCTAGTTGACATTTAAAGGTTAGTGTTCTTGTTTTTGTAGTAAATCATTTTAATACATTTGGTAATCAAAATTTTAATGATGATTTGATGATCAATCCACTGCTAGAAATGAATTAATCAATGAAAGACTCAGTCAACCAGTAATTACCAATCAATCAAGAATTGATATTACTGAGCTCAGCAGATCCCATCAAATGTTTTGCCCTTTCCTCTGCAGCCAATGAAAAGTTCCCGCACTAATTGTTCTTGTCTCTTTAGATACTGGTAATATGGCTGTTCCACACACTGTCCACTTGATCTCAAACAGCTTCCACCACATCAACTCTATCATAAAGTAGTTCACTACCCAGCGGAGCAGCAGCAGTCAACAAACAGTTACCATACCAATAGTTCCAGTCTCTTGATATATCGGTAATATGTCTGTTCCATGCACTATCCACTTGATCCCAGACAGTCTTTACCATATCAGCTCTATCCTAAAGTAGTTTCTATGGGGCATGCCAGTGTGTCGGGAAATGAATATTGGACAGACTGGCTGGCTCTGCGCAGCTTAATGGAATTCTGATGCATGATAAAGCAGACAGGATCAAGGCCTTATGGGAGCACAGGTACAATTTTTAACAGTAAATTTATCATAACAGTCTGGTGAGAGTGATGCAGCGGGGAGTCATGAGTGGATCGATACTTGATGCTCGGGGGAAAGGCAAGATGGACATATAATGAGGAAAGGCAAGGTGGACGTATAATCTGACAGCTACTGGCACCACTGGTACTGGAACTCTGCACTGGCTGTGAAGATGGGGGATGGAGCACTTATGGGAATGCAGTGAGTGCTGTGATGTCAGTTTTTGAATCAACTAGCTCATAAAGTAGTTCACTACCCAGCAGTGCAGCAGCAGCCAATCTACGCCCTTATTTTAGACCCTTGTGAATCGGCAGCCCTATACATAACATGCTTGGGAACAACATTTTTAAAATATTAAATAATGCAACTATTGTGTTTGATGACAGAAAATTGACCCAAGTTACCTGTAGCAGGTGTGACCTTTGCACTGCTTGGGGGTACGTAAACAAAGGCAAATGTGACAGGATCCTCTTTAACCGTCTTTTCAAAAATGATTCTGTTCATGGATCGGCAGAAGTCAATGTTGACCTCCTTCTCAAGAACTTGAGTGTAATCTTCCAGGCTTTAGAAAAAAAATCAACAGTTTTAAATGAACACGAAATGGCAATAATTTTAGGTTATTTGTATCTTACAACTGGGAATCACTTATATTTTCATTGCTGTATCTATCACTCAGTGTATTGACATAATTTAAAGTAAATAAAAATATCCTTTCATGCTAGTGACACAGCAGCATCAGATGCTGGACTCATATTTGTTTCTGGTCAAAATGGACACTAGGCGGGAGCACTGTTTGAAGCCGAGGCACATTTTTTGCTTCTGCCGGACGGTGGTCGATGCAGTTTTGCTCCATTTGTAGACTGAATATAGTTTTGTCGCCCAGCTTCTGAGTTGAATGCATGGTGTTACACTGTGAGCTGCGGATTTCATTTGGAATGTTTTTTCATCTGTGACCAACGTGGTGGTGTGAATTGTAGATACAGAAAATGGTGTGATGCCTGTGATCGCAATGTTGGTAGTGCCCGTATGTGATTAAAACTGATTGCGTTTGCAACTGCTGATCTGATGGTAACTTCTGCTACCATCAATGATGAACTGCATTTCTAATGTCGGACTGTTTGTGTTAGCACTTCCGATGGCTACCGTATGCTTTAATGCTAGATATGCTGAAACAGCAGTCTGTCAATCTTTCCACAAGGGACTGTGATAAACATTCTGTGTGTTTTTCGTTGGCACAGGAGCAGAGCAAAGATGGGGTAACCCATTTGCTATGAAGCTGAAACTAAGACTACCAGACTACGAGACCAGTCATATTTGTTTTTTATTCATCAATGACACTCAGTTTGTCTGAGAAGGGCTGCAAGAGTGACCCAGTAAAAATCAGGTCAAGAGAGAAAGCTGGCACAGAACCAATTCTAGATTACATGTAAATTCATCAATTAACATCTTTTGCCTAATTAGAAAGAATGCGCTGTGATGCCATATCATACAAGACATACACCAAAAGAGGAGAAGGATGTAGAGGTTTTCAAAAAACAAGACAGAAAGATAATGTAAGAGAAACTCTACAAAATGTGTGATGTGTCTTTGGTTGAAGCGGTTATAAGAACAAGAAGCAGAACCTTATATCCCCCTCGACACATGAAGCAGTAAAAAAAAGGTGGGAAGAAGAAAAAAAAGGAGGAAGAAGAAAAAGAGGAGGAAGAAGAAAAAGAGGAGGAAGAAGAAAAAAGAGGAGGAAGAAGAAAAAGAGGAGGAAGAAGAAAAAGAGGAGGAAGAAGAAAAAGAGGAGGAAGAAGAAAAAGAGGAGGAAGAAGAAAAAGAGGAGGAAGAAGAAACAGAGGAGGAAGAAGAAAAAGAGGAGGAAGAAGAAAAAGAGGAGGAAGAAGAAAAAGAGGAGGAAGAAGAAAAAGAGGAGAAAGAAAAAAAAGACCAGCAACCAGTGGGTGATGTAGTCATCATCATGCTGACCCTAGTTACTTCCCAGGATGCTACCTGGTAGCCATTTTAGGATGGGTCAACCAGAGAGCCAAGGTCAATTTTCCAAATAATCTGAATCGATGTAAATTCATATCTATGACGCTCTTAGTCACCATGGTGTAGTGGGTAGATGCTCGTGGATAGAAAGGTCATGGGTTCGGGTCCTAACGTAACCGGGCTTTCTTAAAAAAATTATCTTGGTTCCCAGGTCAGTCCGCCTAGAGTAGGTACCAGTTGCGGTCCTGGGAAATCAAGGCGGTGGGCGTGATGCTGACCACATCACCCAACATGCAGACTGATCTATAAAAGATAGGTCTGGCCCTATATGCCCAATATGCTTGATGGCATGGAAAAGGGTCCTTTACATTTTACTTGTAAGATCCTCTTGCAGGCAGGCAGGGGTCTATCACCTTGCCCACATGGCTCCCACAAATAATTTAGCTTGGGTTTATATTTCAAATGCTAACATTAAAAAAAAATGGGTAAAAGTAATGTTAGTCTCCCCAGACCCCACCCCTATACACACTAGCTCACTTCTTATTGTTAGTTTGTGAACCCGTGACCTTCACACAAGGCTACAGGGTTGTTCAGCAATGCTGTTGATATCGCGTGTTGTATATTTCAGCACGCTAGTGCTTTTAACACTTCAAATACATGGAGAAACTGGCTGTAACACAACCCCTTTAGAGAGTGCTGCAACCTATGTCACAGGCATTCTCTTTCTCGGAACAAAAACATAAATGCAAGACACCACAGAAACCAAACAACAGAGCAGGACACACCCGTAACCTTCAGGAAAGTCGACAAACTTGTGAATGAAAAGTGACCTACTTTATTTGCGGAGATCAACGTTAACCTAACCGAAATATGATAAAGAGGACGCACACTGAGAAAACCTAAAAACAGTATAGCTAGAATATCTTCACAGTGGAACCCACGGGTAAAAAGAGTGATATCTTAAAATACATGGCAAATAGTGTTTAAGATGAACATGAATCATAATGGGAAGGAATGGGATGAGCTTTAGGAGATGGTGAAAGATAAGATATCTTTTCATGTGCAGGTTCAGGGTTTATCCTCAAATGAAGGATAAAGAAGAGAAGAAGAAGATATGATAATGATGATAGTCACTTTGGATTTCTTATGAACACAGGTTTTTTTGAAAGGTAAAACTTATAATCTACAGTCATATAATCTATTATACTTAACACTTATAATCTGTATAAACAGAACAAAAAAGTATTGGACAAAAATGAATATATAGTATATGAAAAGAAGCAAACTGTATATTCCATGAAGAATCCATAAGGATTCTCTTTTCTTTATTTTGTGGTCTCACTGATATCAGGTTGTAGCTCAGTGTCACAGTTTTCTACATTTGTCTTGAGCTACTCGGGTGGCTTGGGTGATGGGCTGCACCATTTATCTATTTTTTTTTTGGGGGGGGGGGGGGGGGGGGGGGGGGGGGGCGGGGGGGGGGGGGTCTTCGGCTTGCCTTCCTCCCAGATGTTCTGCTGTAAAATCTCATCTGTAGTTCAGTCTGGCTGCATGCTCACTGTATGGCTGAACCATTTAATTCTTTGTCTGTCAACATAACTGAGACACAGTCTTGTTCCATCTTTCTCTCTAATGCTGATATTTGTAATCCTGTCATTTCTGTTGTTGTAAGTTACCTATCGGAGGCAGCACATTTTAAAGGTAGTTATTTTCTATTCTGGTGCTCTACTCATTGTCCATGTTTAGCACTAATAGCATAAAGTATGGATGAAGATGCTATGATCACTTGTCAGTTTGCCAGAAGGCAGACATTTTGCCATAAGGATTAAACAGGATTATTCAGATAAAATTACTATTAAAATAGTTTTATTTAAAAAAAAAATTACAAAACAGAAAATCTGCAACTAGAGGTTCTTTAGGTGTGTGTGTGTGTATTCATGCATGTGTGTATATGTGAGAGAAAGAGGGAGAGAGAGAAATATAGTAGAATAACAAACAAAGAAAATTACTTTTTCCCTCTGTCAATCCCTGGAGCCGAATGTGCCCACTCGATCATTCTCCTGAGTGAAGCCTGGTCCAGTTCCCCCACACCGTCCATTGGCATACAGTCGATGTAGAGATTGTACCGCAGCTCTGCCTCACAGATCTTCCTAGACTTAAATGCAGTGGCGATTCGATCTGCAAATACTCGTGGGTCTTCTGCATAGAACAAAAGACGAATACGTGGGATCCACCACTGGTTCCGTCCTTGTGCACGAGAGCCGTTGTCTAAGATTCCACCATTGATTATTGGGCGGCCCTCTGTGTCCACCACACGTCCCTGGTTGTCAACCCGCTGGACAAAATAGAGCTTGGAAGTGGGATCAAAGTCCAAGACTCCAACATCAAGCCATTCATAGTTAATGCTGGGGTCTGTTGGGTTTTCTGCAAATGTTTCATCAATGAAAGCAATTAATATTTTGTATTATATGAAGAAAAAATGTGACACTAGTAAATTATCAGGAAGCACATAGGGGGACTGTGGCTTAGATGTCAGTGAACATATTTCACAATCCTCTATGTACTATTGTTAAATTTTTAGGTCCAAATTACACAAGTCACCCCATCCTGTCAGCAGCTTATTTCTGAAGGGGATTTCCCAGGACATTCCTCAAGTCTAGGGGCGGTCTTATGTTTCCTATTTTGACCATTCAAGCAGATCCACCAGGAAGATAGCCACCGCCAGTGAGTGTAATAATTCAAAAACATGAATGAAGCACCTTTAGCACTTCCCACTGCAGTAATTCTTCCTCAGAGGCAGGTGCTTTAGGTATCTGAGACCTACTGTTCACAAAAAACGGAGTTCTTCTTCTTCTTCTTCTTCTTCTCTTCCACCTTGTATCTCATCAAACTGTCAGGGGGAAGATGTAATGTTCGTTGATGAGCGCTGTCAAGAGCACTATTAAGACTGATGTTCATTTCTGTAAGGCTGTTCTTAATGCCATCACTCCATATTTTCCTAGGTCTTCCACTCGCTCTATACCCGTTGTAACGTTTTAGTGTGGCTCGCTGTGGCAGATAGTACCAGGGCATTCTTGTTAGGTGTCCAAACCATTTCATTTGTTGTTCTTTGATGACCTGTAAGACTAGCTTTATTCCTAGCATACGTCTGATTTCAAGATTTCATATTCTGTCTTTCCTTAAAAACTCCTGCAGCTCTTCTAAGGCATTTCATCTCTGTTGTCACAATTTTAAGTTCATTGGAGGAAGTAAGTGTCCACGTTTGGCATTGATAGCATAGTGTTAGTAAAAAAATAGTTCTGATAAGGTTCACTTTAGTACTCCGAGGTATCTGCTTGTGTGTCAACAGGGGAGATAGTTGCCCCATTACTTGATTAGCTTTGGCACATCTGGAGCTAATTTCTCTGCCCAACGAAGTTGCAAACACAAATCTCTGGTAGCCACCTTTCAACATGGAGTGTACACATGGTGAAGCAAGCCACATTGCAATTTCCTCACAAAATTGGAGAGCACGACATGAATAAGAGCCAGCACAAAATCTTGCACACAAACAAGATGGGGTGACTTTCATAGTTAGTACCGATCTTTATAGTGGACAGTTTAATAAAAAGCCATTCTTGTGAACAGTGGTATAAGAGTTTTACAATGGAAGAGATTAAGGCTTCACCATGCGATAATCCCAAAGACAGTAGCCATTGGCTGGATCTGCACCACGGATGGTGAACTGATACATGACAAGGCAGATGTGGTCAACGCCCTTTGGGAACAAGTAATGAAGTCATAAAGAAACTAGATTATTATGGCCTGGAGAGAATGATGCACCTCGGTGTGACCAGAGGGTCTGGCAGGCTCACTAAACTCAAAGAAAAGGCTAGACAGACATATTACCAGACTACAACCAGCACCATCAGTACCGGAACTCTGTGCTGGCTGCTGAAGATGGGAACTGAGCGCATATGGGAATGCACCAAGTGCTGTGATGTCAATTCTTGACTGGACTCAACTCAACATTGACAGCAGTCGATACACATAAACACTGAAATAAACCTCTTTTGTGGAGAACGATAAAAATGTATCATTTTTTCAGATAAAGAGCACTAGATAAGGAAGAAAGATAGAGAAATTTATGTAGAAAGTTTAAACAGTTAGGAATCAAATAATAATATAGGCAACATCAGCTTCATAATAATGAGATACCCTGACATATACAAGGTAATAAATTGTTTGCATCTTTATTATTGGACTCTCACACAGTCTTTCAAGAAGAAAATTAGAGCTTTTGAACTGAAATGCTACAGAAAAGATTTTAGAATACCATTGACCAAGACCATTGACCATTGCCAGTTCTTCTTTATGGAGCGGAATGCTGGAGAATGACCAAAAAAAAATGCACACAAGCTGCCCACCTTCCACCACACATGTCTACGTAGAATTATCAAAATTTTCTGGCCAGATACAATCTCAAACACTAAACTACTTCGAGCCACAAATCAAGAAACTTTAGACAGTATGATTACCAAGAGAAGATGGAAATGGCTTGGCCACGTTATGAGAATGACTTCTGATATACCTGCCAAAAAAGCTCTCACATGGACACCAAAGGGAAAGAAAAAACAGGGGCGCCCAAAAACAACATGGAGACGAACGATGGAAAGTGACCTGAGTGCGGCATCTTTGACATGGAAAACTGCACTGAAGATTGCACAGGACAGGAAAGCATGGAAAGTCCTCTCTGAAGCCTCATGTGCCACTAGGCATAACGAGAACTGATGATGATGATGATTGACCAAGGAGATATAAAATGTGATGTGTTTTAGACATGTCGATGATCTGCAGTGTGCAGTTTCCAAAAAATAAGCCATAGGCCAACCATTACGAAGGTGGATACAGGACTTTGAAGATACACTAGCTGTGAAAGCACACAGGGCTGGAGAACTGGCTAGAGAGGGAGAGAACTTTAGGCGTGCAGTAACAAGAGTGACGTTCTGTAAAGGACATGGTGATTAATAATGATGATGATGCTCATTATGTCAAACACAACATCAAATTCTAGCACTCAACTCCCTATCAGATTTGGGGAGAAAACACAAATATGAATTACTGTTTAAAAGTAAATCCTCACTCAGAATAAATCAGTCAGCAGCAGATGAGTTCAAGAATTAAATTTACAAGCCTGAGAGAGAAAAAGTTTACAATGTAGCAGTATGGAAAAACTGGTGGGAGTCTCTAAAGTAGCTGGGGCTTGACACAGATCAGTTTCATATTTGTGATAGGGCATGCAGGCATGCAAGAAAATGAGCACGCTGATCAGCTTGTAGGTAAAACTACTGTGCAGAGTGGACAAGCCATGGATCATGCTGATATTCTGACTGCTCTACGAGAAGTAAGATGTTTGCGAGAACCAAGTGATGACTGTGAATCTGCAACCATGACCAGACTGTAAGAACAGCATGTTAAGGAGGGGGTATGTGGCCAGACAAGAGCACTATGCTGGAAACCAAAGAAGAATAAGAAGCCAAAACAGGATCGGTTTTCGTGAACTGCTGCTTCCTGCAGGATTGACTAAGGAGGGGAACCAAGCACTTATTGACTGAATGGTTTGATGTGCAGTGAGGATAATCTGTCGACTAACTCTCATGTGCAGTGAGGATAATCTGTTGACTAACTCTCATGTGCAGTGATGATAATCTGTCGACTAACTCTCATGTGCAGTGAGGATAATCTGTTGACTAACTCCCATGTGCAGTGAGGATAATCTGTCGACTAACTCTCATGTGCAGCGAGGATAATCTGTTGACTAACTCTCATGTGCAGCAAGGATAATCTGTCAACTAACTCTCATGTGCAGCGAGGATAATCTGTTGACTAACTCCCATGTGCAGTGAGGATAATCTGTCGACTAACTCCCATGTGCAGTGAGGATAATCTGTCGACTAACTCCCATGTGCAGTGATGATAATCTGTCGACTAACTCCCATGTGCAGTGATGATAATCTGTTGACTAACTCCCATGTGCAGTGATGATAATCTGTTGACTAACTCCCATGTGCAGTGATGATAATCTGTCGACTAACTCCCATGTGCAGTGAGGATAATCTGTTGACTAACTCCCATGTGCAGTGAGGATAATCTGTCGACTAACTCCCATGTGCAGTGATGATAATCTGTTGACTAACTCTCATGTGCAGTGATGATAATCTGTCGACTAACTCCCATGTGCAGTGAGGATAATCTGTTGACTAACTCCCATGTGCAGTGAGGATAATCTGTTGACTAACTCTCATGTGCAGTGATGATAATCTGTCGACTAACTCTCATGTGCAGTGATGATAATCTGTTGACTAACTCTCATGTGCAGTGATGATAATCTGTCGACTAACTCTCATGTGCAGTGAGGATAATCTGTCGACTAACTCCCATGTGCAGTGAGGATAATCTGTCGACTAACTCCCATGTGCAGTGAGGATAATCTGTCGACTAACTCTCATGTGCAGTGAGGATAATCTGTTGACTAACTCTCATGTGCAGTGATGATAATCTGTCGACTAACTCTCATGTGCAGCGAGGATAATCTGTCGACTAACTCCCATGTGCAGTGAGGATAATCTGTTGACTAACTCTCATGTGCAGTGATGATAATCTGTCGACTAACTCTCATGTGCAGTGAGGATAATCTGTTGACTAACTCTCATGTGCTGTGATGATAATCTGTTGACTAACTCCCATGTGCAGTGAGGATAATCTGTCGACTAACTCTCATGTGCAGTGAGGATAATCTGTTGACTAACTCTCATGTGCAGTGAGGATAATCTGTTGACTAACTCTCATGTGCTGTGAGGATAATCTGTTGACTAACTCTCATGTGCAGTGAGGATAATCTGTTGACTAACTCCCATGTGCAGTGAGGATAATCTGTCGACTAACTCCCATGTGCAGTGATGATAATCTGTCGACTAACTCTCATGTGCAGTGAGGATAATCTGTCGACTAACTCTCATGTGCAGCGAGGATAATCTGTTGACTAACTCCCATGTGCAGCAAGGATAATCTGTTGACTAACTCCCATGTGCAGCAAGGATAATCTGTTGACTAACTCCCATGTGCAGCGAGGATAATCTGTTGACTAACTCTCATGTGCAGTGAGGATAATCTGTTGACTAACTCCCATGTGCAGCAAGGATAATCTGTTGACTAACTCTCATGTGCAGCAAGGATAATCTGTTGACTAACTCCCATGTGCAGCGAGGATAATCTGTTGACTAACTCTCATGTGCAGTGAGGATAATCTGTCGACTAACTCCCATGTGCAGCGAGGATAATCTGTTGACTAACTCTCATGTGCAGCGAGGATAATCTGTTGACTAACTCCCATGTGCAGCAAGGATAATCTGTTGACTAACTCCCATGTGCAGCAAGGATAATCTGTTGACTAACTCCCATGTGCAGCGATGATAATCTGTTGACTAACTCCCATGTGCAGTGAGGATAATCTGTCGACTAACTCCCATGTGCAGTGATGATAATCTGTCGACTAACTCCCATGTGCAGCGATGATAATCTGTTGACTAACTCCCATGTGCAGTGATGATAATCTGTTGACTAATTCCCATGTGCAGTGAGGATAATCTGTTGACTAACTCCCATGTGCAGTGATGATAATCTGTCGACTAACTCCCATGTGCAGCGAGGATAATCTGTTGACTAATTCCCATGTGCAGTGACGATGATCTGTTGACTAACTATCTAACTAATATGGAAAAATACATACTCATTCTGTCCTCTTCATTTGCTGGAAGTAGTGCCAAACCTGGCACAGGATACCGGATCCCATCCATATTACCCAGACTGATCCACTCCTCTGGTGTGTGAATGTCAAATTCTTCATCATCAAAAATGTGAAGTGGGAGGTACGCCGGGAAGGGGGCGGGGTCATCTTCATCACGGTTCAGTAATACATTCACATCAGACTGCTGTTTGGGCATGAGAAGCTCTGTCTGAATGTTTCTTTCTGCCAACAATTTGACCAATGAGAGGCTTTTGTAGAGTCGTCGTCGCCTTAAAACAGTGAAAAATCATAATAATTTGTAAATGATTAAATAACAAAAAAGTGAATATTTACTTTTTTGTCAGTAGTTTAGAAAACTTGGAAAGATTCTCTGAATATCTTGGACATAGAAGATGAGAAATATTGATATCTTAAAAGATCTGAACATCAAGAAACACTGGCTAATAAACAGCATCCTTTTTCGAAAGCTGAAATATTTTGGTCATATCAAGCGCCACAACGGATTGGAAAAAATTATAGCAAAAAGCATGGTACCAGGAAGGAGGGGCAGGGGCCGACCGACACGAAGATGGGCACAGGATATAGGTGACTCCTTGAATGTGAAAATGCATGAGGCGGGAGAACTGGCAAGAGACCGAGTTGCTTTCATGCAGACTGTGATGAGAGTGACGTTCTGCAAAGGACCTGCTACATGATGATGATTGAGTTTAGAAAACTACAAAGTTATGTGTAAATTTTGTTACTTGCAGTAAGACATTTTATTCTGGGAACGAGCAGGAAAACAATTATTTTGGAATTAAGTTGTAAGATGCAGCTGACCAAGAATGTGAGACAGAAAGTAGAAGGAAATAATCAAAGTATATCAAATGTCTTCTTCTGTTTTTGTTTTTGTTGTTGTTGTTGTTGTTGTTGTGGGACTTGTCACATAATTTAGCAATAACTTAAAAATTAAATTTGGTAAAATATTTAAGAATTCCGGCAAAGCTACAGGAGATGCGGAAGCTGCTGCTCATGAGTCCTAGCGATCAAGTTTAGCCCCAATCGACGCCGCATGAGCGGCATGGGGGACTCTTGGCGGTGGCTGTAGTCGCTAGAAAAACCGCAAATTAAGTCGCCGGAAGTGTGCAATTGACACGTGACTGAGGCTCTGTTAGGATGTTTTTGCGGCCGCCATCTTTTGTGCCCGTTATTCGGAGGATAGCCAGAATTCCTATGGATTATAGGAACAAATATATAGATTCTAGCCATGAAAGCAAACAATATATTCATAATTCAAGCATAAGTATCACTTCTTCTTCTTCATCTACCTTTTATCACCCAACGACAAATAGGCCCTCCTGTGGTATCACTGGTAGCATTTGCAGCTAAAGTTTTTTTCTTTAATGAGATAAGGTAGCCAGTTTCATAAAACATGCCTGTTATGTTACAATATTACTTCTTATTCTTCCGATGAACCCTTTAGCACATGATTTGGTGGTTTATAGCCAGGCTGTGAGATATGCTCCTTTTGGCCTAATACATCAGTCTTTAGCAAACCTTGAATTAGTCATCTTTTATGACATGTCTGTTAGGTAGTGGGGGAGGGGAGGTTGCAGAAAAATGTTGCAGCAGAACCCACATGGAAAAGTTAAGTGTTACTGTTTTTTACTTCCCTAATGGATCCAAGAAACACACAAACAGCTATCATTTTAGTGGATTAAATTCAACATCGGAAGGAATTTGAAATGTAAAATAAAATTTAAAAACACAAAATAAGCTTTTATTACTAAAATTTCATACAGTAACCAAAGCACTAGAAAGATAAAAAAAAAAAAAAAACTAACAAATAAACGTGAACTTATAAAAGCTTATAACAACTATCCAATTCAGAAGGGGCTTTTTGAGTGAGAAATTGTTAAATAAATAGAAAGTTGTATGACACTGGAAGAGTTAAAGAAAATGTGATTACACTGCTAAGTCATCGCACAGAAAACCCATCCCACAGCTACAAAATCCCACCCATCATGAATAAGTCCACAAAGCACCCACATGAGCTTCTTTAGGATCTATTCACCCTTAAAGAGTGGGTGGCTAAATGGTTAGAACACTGGGCTCTCAAGCAGGAGACCCAGGTTCAAATACACGGTAAGGCTGAGGAATTTTTTTTCTGTGGAAAATAAAATCCTCACCTGCACAGTCCATGGTGTCAGCAGTAGCCTTGCAGCCTCAAACCTTCAGTCTCACAGACCCTCCCCCCCCCCCCCCAATACACCCCTGCCTACACAGCAAAATGGTAATTAAAGCAGTAATTGGCAGTGTACCCTTGGGGGGTGGGAGAGTGAATGGGAGAGGATGGGAAAGTAAGTGACAACTGTCTGGGGCGAACAGAAAAATTTTAGAAAATGTATGACCTATGATTTGGTATAACTGGGTAATTTCGATTCTAACTTCACAACAAACATCTTATCTCATAGTTTTTCCACTTCTGTGTCAACAAAAACCCCACAGAATGCTCATCACTGCCCCTTTTGAAATAAATGGATGCAGACTGAAGTCTTAGCAAATCCAACAGCATGCATGTGCATTTAATGCTTAAAGCAGCAGTCAGATGTGACAACACAAGCTGTATTACACTAAGAATTGTCAACGGAAGCAGCAATTACAACAGATCAGTTACACATGTAATTAATTTCACTTCTGGTAAAAATGGACGCTAGGCAGGGGCACTGTTCAAAGCCGAGGCGAATTTTTTGCTTCTGCCGGACGGTGGTCGATGCATTTTTGCTTCACTTGTGGACTGGATATAGTTTCGTCACCCAGCTTCTGAACTGAATGCATGGTGTGACACTGTGAGCTGCGGATTTCATTTGGAATTTTTTTCGACTGTGACCAACATGGTGGTGTGAATTGTAGATTCAGAAAATGGCGCGTGGCCTGTCGCCGCAACATTGGTGGTGCCCACATGTGATTAAAATTGATCGCGTATGCAGCTGCTGATCTGTTGGTGACTTCTGCTACCATCAATGATGAGCTGCATTTATAATGTCGGACTGTTTGTGTTAGCACTTGGGATGGCTACCGCATGCTTTAATGCGAGTGTATGCTGGATATGCTGAGACAGCAGTCTGTCAATCTTTCCACAAGGGACTGTGATAAACATTCTGTGTGTTTTTCGTTGGCACAGGAGCGGAGCAAAGATGGGGTGACCCGTTTGCTATGAAGCTGAAACTAAGACTACCAGACTACCAGACTACCAATCGCATAAGGCGCCACCAGTTATGTGGCAACAGGCCACTCTGCAGTTTCAACTGGCCTGTCTGGCAAAGTTGAAAAAAATTTCAGAGGAAATCTATAGCTCACAGTTAGGTATCATGCACTCCACACAGTTACTGGGTGATAGAACTATTTCCTTTTAGTCTACATACGGAGGAAAATGCTGGGACAGATGAATATTGCCAGAAGCAAAAATTGTACTGATTAAAATTAGTTAACCCCCCAATGTGCCATTTTGGCATATTAATGTATGAGTAGCATTGTCTGGTATGGAAAAGAATTATAAAATCCTTCCTGGGATTTACAATGACAATAAACAGCAAAAAAGAAAAACAATTCAATGATACTCTAGATTCATACAGAAACACTTACCTCTCAATTTCAATTTTTCTAGGAAGCTGGCCAGGTTTTGTAGAGTACGGCAGCTGAACTTTAGGCTTGAATGAATTGTGGCTGAAATCCTGGGCAGAAAACAAAGTCAAGCTGGTAATTAGCTCTCAAAGTATGCTAGACTAGCATTAATGGGTGGTGATGTTAATTATGTTGTTGCTGCTGCCACAAATTTGTTTACTTTTATTTTCACGGAGTCCTGAAGAAGCTTGCATATGAGTGAGGTTGGTGTTGAGCTGGGCTGTTCAACAGGGTGACCATACCATCCCATTTTCGTTGAGATGTTTTTTTTTTATTTTTTTTATTGGGTAGGCCCAGACAGACAAGCTGATACCCACACACACACACAAAAATTGGGACAACTGATATTTTACTATTGATGTGATGGTCCGGGCCCACCTAAAAAATGATACTGTCCCGGTCAAAAAGAACGACATGTTCAGCCTACTATTTTGCTCAGCTCTACTAATGGGCCAAAATGTCGAAAATGGGGATTGTCATTGACCTGAGGCCACAGCCTTAGCACAGAACATTTTTTTTTTTTTTTTGTTAAAATCTTATTTTACTCTTTGGCAATGATTGGTGGACTACTTTCTAGGTTTCAGAAAGATGATTACAGTTACACTTGAACAGGTCAAGGCAGCCCATTTCTGTTGGTCCAGTTATGGATCAGGTAATAATCCTGTTGTCATGGAAACTCTTAGGAAGACCCAAAAAAACTATTAACCCAGAAATCCCTCCCCCCCCTTCCCCGCACAGGTCTCCTACAAAAAGTCCTGAAACAATTACGGGTGACCAATAAATTCTTTAAAGAAGATTACTTTTTTCATCATCATCATCCTGTGCCATGCCAGCTGGCGCAGACGCTCATGCGTCTCCACAGATCACGATCCCTGGTTGACAGGAATAACTCTCTTGATGATATCCCTCCATGCCATCGTTTCAGCCCATCCAGCTTCACTCTCTTTGTCTGCCTCTACCCCTTTTTCCACTGATTTTTCCATTTGTCACGATGTTCTCAAATATCTCTCTTCTCATTATGTGGCCAAAGAACAGTGTTTGTCTCTTTCTTATTATTGTATATAGAGATCTACTTTCATTAGCTTCTTTCAAGCAATCGTTGTTAGTTACTCTGGCCATCCAAGGTATTCATAACATTTGTCTCAGAAACCACATCTCTGTTGCTTCCAAACTTTTCTTAATTTGTTCAGTGAAATTCCAAGATTCGCTGCCATGCAGCAGAACAGGTTCTCTGTAACAATTTAGCACCCTCTTTCTGACATTAAATGAGAGCGATTTATTGCATAAGATATTTTTCATTTTCTGAAATGCAGCTTTTGCTTGACCTATTCTGCTTTTAATCTCAGTCACACATTGCCCATCTTATAATATGACTGTTCCCAGCTATTTAAACTGATTGACTTGGTTAAGTCTTTTTACTTCAATTGAAATATCACAACGTGGAATTATCTTCTTCTCTGATATAACCATTACTTTGTTTTCTTAGTATTCAATGAAAGTCCTTTCTTGGCACTCTCCATCCCCACAATATCCAGCAGTTGTAATTTATAGCATTTTCGCTATCAAAATTGTATCGTCTGCATAATGCAAATTGATTACTTATATACAATTTTTTATTAAATATATGAAGTGGAGACTATTTGACAGAAATCAAAAGGAGGATGGCCATAGCAATGCAGAGATTAAACAGCATTAAAAGTCTATGGTTAAGTACGATCAAGGAAATCAAATCCTCTCCCAGTCCTCAAGAAAGACAATAGAGGCTTTTGAGCCAAAATGCTGTAGAAAGATTCTCAGAATGCTATGGACAAAGAGGAGAAGAAATACTGACATTTTAACAGATGTGAACATTTAGGAAGATCGGCTAATAATCAGCATATTGTCTCAGCTGAAATATTTTGGCCATTTTAAGCACCATGATGAACTGGAAAAAAAAAATAGCAAAAAGCATGGTACCAGGACGCAGGGCATAGTGGCCGACCACCAGGAAGATGGATACATGATATAAGTGACTCCTTGAATATGAAAGTACACGAAGCGGCAGAATTGGCAAGATCCTGAGTTTCTATCACAGACCGTGATGAGAGTGACGTTCTGCAAAAGACCTGCTACATGATGATTATATAAAGTGGAACTAAACGCAGCAGAGAATTAAATGACTACAGCTGGTCAGGCTATGAAAAAATGACTCCTACTGTGATCTCATGACATCCAACTGCTGAAAGGAAAGTCATTGTGATATCATAATGTCTATAAAAGCCATTCTCTGCACAATAGCCCCAATCCCCCTTTAATGCTATTTCTAGTACTAGTTAACAGTCTATGAAGGTTCAGGTGGCTGGGTCACACCTGAAGAATAGAGGATGGCAGAGTCCCTAAGGACATTCTCTATGGTGAATTAAAGACGGGTAGAAGATGTCAAGGCTGACCTCTACTATGATGTGAAGATATGTGCAAGCAGGATATGAATGATACAGGTACTGAGGTGGACTCCTGGAACAAAATGCCATGGACCATGTTGTGTGGAGGGGGCACACCAGGAAGAGAATGAGAATGAAGGAAGAAATGATTGCAGTAAGGCTGAGAGCTGAAAAGAAACACTAAACACAAATGTTGACAACAACAGTCCTGAAATCCCATGCTTTAATTGTGAAAGACTTTGCTTAAGGCAAGCGGGTCTTGCTAGTCACACTCACCATCACCATGGGCTGTGAGTCCGTTACCTCCTCATGAGGTAATGTAACACTATTGTCTGGAAAGACGGAAAGGTGCCAATCAACCATTTCTAGTAAATTTAATCATATCCAGGCTTCCACAACACTGCACAGATGCAAACAAAACCAGCGCCATTAATTAGGTTTTTCAGGAACCAGCCTATGTAATAAAAGCAGTTTAACTTCTTGTCTGGGATTTGTAATAGATAGTGATGCCGGATTAGCAGAATCTCAGCGTTAAAGGGTTACAAATAGTCTGGCAAGATAAAAAGATGCTGGATGGATTGAAAGAGTGACAAGGAAAAGACACATATCAAGAACTCTGAAAACAATAAATTTGGAAAGATACAAGATTTCAAGGTTACATGGTGATAATGCTCAGCTTTCTGTCAACTTACAGATATGGTGAGATCTTGGGTAGATGGTCCATACTGTTGTTCAATGAGCTGTTTATCCAAATGGCTTGCATCCAAAAATAAATGTGTTAGCTGTAATAGATACATGCAACTGTTAGTATACAAACTCAAGTAACTAATAAAGTAGCTCAAAAATAAAGTGGTACAAAAAAAAAGTAGCACACAAAATTTAGTAGCAAAAAATAAAATATAAAAAATTAAGTAGTACAAAAATAAAGTAGCACAAAAAAAAAGTAGCACAAAAATAGCTAAACATAAATAACCCCAATGATGATGTCAAATCTAGAATAACAACTGTTCCACATTTTCTTGAAGAAGTTATAGTAATTTAAACAATATCCTGTTCAACACATCTGGGATATAACTGAGATATATACAATTTTCTCTTTCTCACTAATGGATATTTATTCCTGTCAATAAGTTTTTTTTTTTTATAATGCATCATCATCACGTAGCAGGTCCTTCGCTCTCATCATGATCTGCCAGAAATAAAGTCGGTCTCTTGCCAGCTCTCTTTGCCTCATAGACTATCCTAGTCAAGAAGTCACTTACATCCTGTGCTCATGGTCGTGTTAGTCCTCCCCTGCCCCTCCTTCCTGGTAGCATTTCTTCTGCTATTACTCCTTCCAGTCCACCATGGCAGTTGATATGACCAAAATATTTCAGCTTTCGAGACAAGATGCTGTTTATTAGCCAAACTTCCTTGATGTTTAAAATGTAAATATTTCTTCTCTTCTTTGTCCATGGTATTCTGAAAATCTTTCTATAGCATTTCAGCTCAAAAGCCTCTATTTTATTTCTTAAGGACTGGGGGGAATAGTCCATGGCTCATCCGTATGTAGCCACACGGAAGATGCATGCTCTCAAAATTTTTGTTTAAATTTCCTTGCTGGTGCTTAAACATAAACTTTCAATGCTGTTTAATCTTTGCATTGCTATGGACATCCTCCTGTTGATTTCTGTCAAACAGTCCCCATTGCTATTTACCGTAGAGCCTTGATATTCAATAATAATGCATAGCTTATATATTAATTGTTAAAGATTGTAATAGTATAAATTGTTAAATTTATTATATTTTAGGCGTACTTTTAAAAAGAGCAACCAAGAGGCGGGAGCCGGAAGACAACTTATCACAGACATCAGAAGGAGACAGTCATCATTTTTCGGCCATGTTATGAGATGAGGGAAAATAGAAAATGTTGTGACCACTGGAAAGATATGTGGAAGGAGAGATAGAGAAAGACAACGAGAGAAGATGCTTGACAGTCTTGTTGCATGGCATGGAGGTGTGTCGGCACATGAACTGATACATGCAGCAGGAGATCGCAGATTTTGGAGAGGCATTATCGCCCACGCCAGTCGGCAAGGCACCTGATGATGATGATGATGACTTTTCAAATAATTATAAAAATCATAGTCCAACTTAGGGAATATTTAAAGAGATATGGTATTCCTGAAGTGTAATAATTGTGAAAACATGGCTCAGTAGCCATTAACTGGTCAATATCAGTGTCAAGAATTGGCTTCTGGTCAAAACTGGAAGATAGGCTTGGCAGAATGTTGAGCTTCGAAGTTATTTTTTGTGTGTGACAACGCTTAGCTAATGCAGTCTTCACATATAGATGTTAGTCTATGGTTTTGCTGCCTGAGCTACTGAGTTTAGTGCTTGGTGCAGCCCTGTGAGCCGTGTTTTTCCTGTAGAATGCCTTTCATTTGTGCAGCAGGTGAGTCGTCGCATATAATACATGGCCGGCAGCTGGTTTACATTTGAGCTGGTGAAATATGTCAGGTAATAATTCTACATGTACTTATCATGCCCGACTAATTCCATTAGTGACAAACTGCATTTCTGGTGGTGACTGTTGGCTTTGGTGCCTCTAGCAACTGCCATTTGCATTTACTGCATGCACATATTTCTGGATTGTTCCGGGACTCATTGTTTGTTCACCAGTTTTCAAATGAGGGATATTTAATTTGATTTTCACTGGCATAGGAACGGAGCAAGTATGGGGAAACATGATTGAAGTTGAAATCTCAACTAAGACTGAGGCTAAGATTAAGACAAAGACTAAGGCCAAGGCTAAGACTAAGATTAAAACTAAGACTTAGACTAAGAAAGACTAAATAAATGGAATGTTGAGGTGCAACACTACACAAGAGAGTGGTGCAACAGGACCAGGGTTCAGTGAAGATCTATTCACACCTCTCTTCTGCCATCCTAGAAACAGGATCCCTACTGGGCACCTGGTCAATGTAGATACATTTATGTTTCCTTCAGGGTGTATCTGTCTGTAAAAGGGGAACTCCATGGTGAAGCACATGGGATAAAACACGGTACAATGAAGTTGATCCTTTCGACTTTAAATTGAACCTTTATCTGCCTGAGAGATAAAGAACCAACAGTCTGTATATGTTAAATGGATGTGCATGTAACACTGAAGTCTTGGAAGAAGACTAAAGTCCAGACAAATACAAACTATGGGGATTTTAATCAATAGTTTGAGATTGCCAATTTCAGACAATAGAAGAGACTATATAAAATTTATTATGAAACATCCATGAAATCCCTCAAATGTTTCAAAGCCATTACAAAACTTTAAAAAATTTAAGAAATATACATAAACGGTAAAGGAACTATTTCAAAGGAGACAAAAACTATCAACAAATTATTTTATATTATAAAAGCCTGGTTTTTGTTTTAATTTCCCTCATAGCATGCATCAGTTATAAAACTCAGGCTGCTGGAATACACATATTTACCAAAAGGCGTATGCTTCTCTCTGGCAACATCCCATAATGTGTCTTGTGCAGTCTCAGGACCAGTCAGCAGTGTCTATGAAAGATTACACACAAGTGAATTATCACATATCACTAACAAAGATTTGTTGTAATGCTCCATAAAGTATACCATACTTTTAGGGTGTTCCCACTTCCTCACCTTATAGGAAGTGAAAACTTGGTAATGTAAAAGAACCTTTTGATGCCAGGTTTGTATGGGTCATATGATGTCAGACTAAGTAACATTACAGTTTGATCTTCCGGTCAAAATGGGCGCTAGACAGCGGCGCTGTTTGAAACAGAGGCAAATCTTTTTGCTTCTGCCGGACGGTGGTCGATGCATTTTTGCTCCATTTGTAGACTGGATATAGTTTTGTCGCCCAGCTTCTGAGTTGAATGCATGGCGTGACCCTGTGAGCTGCGGATTGCATTTGGAATGTTTTTTCGACTGTGACCAACGTGTTGGTGTGAATTGTAGATTCAGAAAATGGCGCGATGCCTGTCGTGCAGTGTTGTGGTGCCCGTATGTGATTAAAATTGATCGCGTGGGCAACTGCTGATCTGTTGGCGACTTCTGCTACCATCAATGATGAACTGCAATTCTAATACTGTGATAAACATTCTGTGTGTTTTTCGTTGGCACAGGAGCGGAGCAAAGATGGGGCGACCCGTTTGCTATGAAGCTGAAACTAAGACTACCAGACAGTTGATAAATCGGCATAGGAGGGGTGATGTGGTCAGCATCGCACACTGTAGGTTGATGAAAATTTACCAAATATGACACAGCATTCTCATTCCCCTACTCTTTTTCTCTGTCTGTCTCTGCACATTTATTTTACAGATTTAGTTTATATGTATGCATGCTGTTGGTTCCTTGCCTCTCAGGCAGGACAGATGCACTCCAACTTCAAAGGAAACATCTAATTATTAGGTCTATTCTTGTTTTCCCCATAATAGAGCCCCAGAACCCACAAGGGGAAGGTGAGTATCTAATGTAGCAGTATAAAAAATTCACCAAATATAAATTGTTTGACCTTTTGGGGTTATAACTGTGATGTAGATAATGGTAGTACTCAGCTTTTCACCCCATCTCACTGGGTGCAAGATGTCAGAGGGAATTCCTCTGGACAGTCCTATACTCTAGGGGTGTCATGACATACCTTCATTCACTGTGTGTATACGGCGTGACAAAAAGTGTCTTCGCTTCCTTCAACTAAGTCACCACAATGTCTCCCAGGTGAAAGTGCAAAGCTTTATTTTCTCCCAGATGAAAGCGAGTAACTGTCTTTTCTTTTAACGACTTTTCAAGGTTAGGGTTAGGATTAGATGCAAGAATACTGACAGGTCAAGGAAATTCATGTAGAAGGCCAAGTCACAAAGTAAAAACAGCACTTCCACACAGGTCAGAGTAAGGGGGACGAATGAATGAAAGTAACAGACAGTGAAAATAATGATGCAATAATGATCACAATGGTGAAAACAAGCAACACATTGCACGCCGAGTTGTAGTGTTTTAGGATTAGTGTTAAATGAACAGCAACAAACTGACCCTGACCCTAACCCCCCTACACTATAGGACGGTCCTGGGAAATTCCCTATGAAATGTTGCACCTGATGAGAGAGGGAGAAAAAGTTGTATAGTACCTAAATAACTTGTTTACAACAATAGAAACATGTAAAACAGAGACAAGTAAATAACAATGTGTAACATCTTTTTGTTCATCAGTGAGTGGAACACATCAGTAATACAGGTGATGTAAAACATGCTGCAAGTGAGTGACAAACAATCCATAATGTGACTGTAAACATTCATTTGTTCATTTCAAACATTGCTGGCGCAAACAACACATTGCACAATTTGTTGCCTGTGATATTTCACTGTATCTCATCAGGTGCATTGCTGCAGAGTTTAATCAACATATAAATTTAGCACAAAAATGAATCCTTTTTGCTGAAACAATAAATCACAATCTCACGGTCAGACTGTACATCACTCCACAGGAAATTCAGCCATGTGATTACCAGGGTAACTCCGAATTTATCACATGATCCTCTTGTTTACATAAAACAGTAATGCACCTAGCAATGCGAATGAAGAGACACCCTGAAATATGCCAGGCAATAAATTGTTCAATGTACTGTTTGTGTCTGCATTATTTAACTTCACAGTAGGAGAACATTGTTTTGAATTTATTTGTTCACTAAATACCCACAATTTGAGACAAAATAAAACAAGCTGAGAAATGTAATGTTGCATTTAGACTATTAAAACAAAAAAGTTTGGAAAACAAAGCGTACATTCAAATGAAGCCCAATATATGGATATCTATTATACCTCATGTATGGTTGCATGTGTAAGTAGGTGTGCATGTGTAGTAAATAAATATAGAGAAGGACTCTTTAACACCATCTGCGCTGGCTGCTGAAAATTAGGACGGAGCATGCATGGGAATGCCCGAGTGCTGTGATGTCAATTCTTGACTCAACTCAACTAAACTCTTTCACACCACAGGCACAGCATAGCCATATGGTGCTAAACTTTTCACTTTAGTATGGTAAATTCTATCCAATTCAACAACTGTACAAGTCAACAACTGTCCAGGTCAACAAATGTGCAAGTTAACAGCTGCCCAAGTCAACAATGGTGAAGTCAACAACTTTCCAGGTCACAACTTCCTGGTCAACAACTGATCATGTTAACAAATGATCAGGTCAACAACTGATCAGGTCAACAACTGACCAGGTCAACAACTTTCCACTCGTCAATGATCCAGTACTGTCCAGGGCAACATAATTCAGTTTAACAACTGTCCAGGTCAACAACTGTCCAGTCAACATTTTTCCATGTCTACAATTGTCCACGTTAACGAATTCCCACATTAAACACTGTCCAGGTTAGGAACTGCCAAGGTCAAAAACTGTCCAGGTCAATAACTGTCAAGGCCAACAACTATACAGGTCCATAACTTTCTATGTCGACAATTGTCCACGTTAACGAATTCCCACATTTAACATTGTCCAGGTTAAGAACTGCCAAGGTCAAAAACTGTCCTAATCAACAACTGTCAAGGTTAACAACTGTCCAGGTTAACAACTGTCTAGACCAACAACTGTCCAGTCAACCACTGTCCAGGTTAACAACTGTCCAGTCAACCACTGTCCGGGTTAACAACTGTCAAGGCCAACAACTGTCCAGGTCAACAACTGTCCAGACCAACAACTGTCCAGTCAACAACTGTCCAGGTTAACAACTGTCCAGACCAACAACTGTCCAGTCAACAACTGTCCAGGTTAACAACTGTCCAGACCAACAAATGTCCAGTCAACAATTGTTGAGGTTAACAACTGTCAAGGTCAACAACTGTGTAGGTCAACAGCTGTCCAGTCAATAACTGACTAGATCAACAAATGTCCACATTAACAACTGTCTAGGTCAGTAACTGTCTACATAATCAATGTCCAGGCCAACAGCTGTCCACATAGACAATTGTCCAGTCAACAACTGTCTAGGTTAACAACTGTCCACTCAACAACTACATTAGAAGTATATGTGTTCACACTGTGCAACATCATCCCATATACTTTTGTCACTTTTGTGTGATTTAAATATGTGATGTTTAGTTCAGCCGTCCGCCATTACTCTCTAAACTATAGGCTCTGGACACCAATGTCAAAACCAACCTAGGGCAATCTTTTGCCAAATAATCTGCAGCTGAATCAACCACCTCGAATTGCGGAGCATGTTCACAATACCTGAACCACAATTGCCACGCGGATGCACACGCACACACTGACACACACACAGAGTACTTTTTAATTAATGCAAACAAAATAAAGTTACATCAAAGAATATTTAATACCGGAAATAACAAATAAATGAACTGAAATGACACAAGCCAGTGATTCAGACACTTTTGCAGGTGATTACAACAGCAGAAAACCCCATCAGATTACCCTTTTGATCTACATCATTGTTGCAAGGCTGCAGCAATGATCATATGCTGCTTATGTCGTTGCTGTGGCAAAAACAGAAACATTACTGTTATGAGTTACACCCTACAACATAATTAGAACATGCCTTTAGGATTTTTATGTTCTTCTGACAACCTCAAAAATTAGTAGAATATACTGCACATAATATGCCTGCTTGTGGATCAGAAGGTTGTAAGTTCGCGTCCTGACGGACCCACACTTTTTTCAAAAATGACCTTGACTCCCAGGTTGACCCAGCCTTGAGTGGGTACCAGGTACAGTTCTGGGAAGTAATGGCAGCCAGTGTGATGCTGACCACATCACCCACCAAGTGCTGATTGGTCTATAAAAATATAGGTCTAGCCCTATATTCCCAATAAGCCTAAAGGTGTGGAAATGGGACCTTTACTTTACTGCACATAATACTCATTATTCCTACTTCTTCTTCTTCTTCTTCTGCGTTCATCCGGTGACATACATGCATTGTCTCCATTTAAAACATGGTACCAAGAGTCGCAAAGCCAGATCACATCAGACATGTAGCAGAAAAACGAAACTCAGGCGAAAATGGTCGCCACAAATAAACAAAATTCATATTAGACAGCAAAGACCCAGTCCTTAATATACCTGGCCCTCGGGCGGCTCAAAGAGGACAAAGTCTGAATTTTTTTGTTAACCAAATTGGAATTGGAATTGGAGTTGTGCTGTTCGGCCCATACATCCAACTTCTGCAAGCATTTATTGCCCAGGTTAGACTTCCATGATTAGTAATTTCTGTCTTTAGCAGATTAAAAACTGTACTTTACTACACTGTAAAGGCGATCAAACAACAGCTGCCAAGAGTTAATGACTGATTATGCCAGTTAGCCAGGCACTTCATGATGATGATAATGATGTTGATAATGATGACAGAGTGAGACAAAAACTCTCTCACCTCAATTTCAGCTTCGTTGCCATTATTTGTAACCACATCTGAATAGAAGCCTCGCTGTCGGATCGGAGGGTAGGCATTCCTGCTCTGTCTATGACCATCAGCTGTGGGATTCCTGGAGCGATTAGCTGAGAAACTTCTACCATGAGAACTCTTTAAAGATCTCGTGGACATGCCTGTCAGAACATGAACATTAAAAACATTAATGTAATAATTCTCTTCTTTTTCTTTTTTTTTTTTTTTTTTGTTCTTGTTGTTGTTCCTCTTCTTCTTCAGTGACCAAAATTTGCTATGTTTCTATTCCAGTATGAAAGCCGCCAAAGTGTAGTGGCTGGAGACTCGCTTGCATATCCAAAAGTCATGCCTTCAGGTGCTGGGGAAGCCGGACTTTTTTTTCAAAAATGACCTTGGCTCCCACGTCAACACAGCCTTAAATGGGTATCAGGTAATTTCCTGGAAAGTAAAGGCAGCAGGTGTGATGTTCATCACATCACTCACTGAGTGCCAATTGGTCTAAAAAATGTAAGTCTAGCCCTATATGCCCAATACACCTAAAGGCGTACAAGAGGGTCCTTTACTTTACTTACTTTACAATTCCAATACTGGTAATTAACAGGATGGCATGACTAAGGTCTTCACCATCATTTATAATTTATCCTTTGCTGGCTGCTGATGATGAAAACAGAGTGTTTATGGGAATTTCCTGAGTGTTATGATGCTAATATTTAGATCAAAGCTTAAAACACTTAACATTGAAAACACTAAACAATCAAAACACTCAACACTCAAAACACTCAAAACAATCAATCCTCAAAACAATCAATCCTCAAAACATTCAATCCTCAAAACATTCAACACTCATAACACTTAACACTCAAAACACTCAAAACACTCAATACTCAAAACACTCAACACACTAAATACTCAAAACCCTCAAAACACTCAACACTCAAAACACTCAGTACACTCAATACTCTCAACACTCACAACACTCAACACTCAAAACACTCACAACACACAAAACAATCAACACTCAAAAGAATACTCAAAACACTCAACATTCAAAAGACTCAATACTCAAAACACTTTAACACTCAAAATACTCAAAACGATCAATCCTCAAAACTCTCAACACTCAAAAGACTCAACACTCAAAAGACTCAATACTCAAAACTCTCAACACTCAAAAGACTCAACACTCAAAAGACTCAACACTCAAAACTCTCAACACTCAAAAGACTCAACACTCAAAAGACTCAACACTCAAAAGACTCAATACTTAAAAGACTCAACACTCAAAACTCTCAACACTCAAAAGACTCAACACTCAAAAGACTCAACACTCAAAAGACTCAACACTCAAAAGACTCAATACTCAAAAGACTCAACACTCAAAACTCTCAACACTCAAAAGACTCAACACTCAAAAGACTCAATACTCAAAAGACTCAACACTCAAAACACTCAACACTCAAAAGACTCAATACTCAAAAGACTCAACACTCAAAACACTCAATACTCAAAACACTTAACACTCAAAACACTCAATACTCAAAACACTCAATACTCAAAACACTCAACACTCTCAAAACACTCAATACTCAAAACACTTAACACTCAAAACACTCAATACTCAAAACACTCACAACACTTATAACACTCAATACTCAAAACACTCAACAGTCAAAACACTCAGGGGACCGCGTTGATGCAGTTGATAAGAGGTTCGCTTTTAAATCCAATTGCAATTCGCTGAAGCCCATGGTCGGTGTTTGAAACCGGGTGGCTCCCGGGGTTCACCCAGCCTCTAGGAAATGGGTACCAGAGTTGACACTCTGAGTTAAATGGAGGAACGTCGCTGTAGCTACAGAGTTACGTGCGAACGGCGACACAGGCGGACAATTCTTATTAGCTGTCCGTACTGGTGGCAGAGCACTTATGGTTTATAACCGTGTGCAATGACGCTGGTTCACATCTCCAAACTTTTTAGTCAAAACACTCAAAACACTAAATACCCAAAACACTCAACAGTCAAAACACTCAACAATTACAACACTCCTGTAAACCAACTTTCTTCTCTGTGGCTGGCAAACTCTAGGTAATCTTTAAGTCACACTCTGTACTTTGCTTTGGTGCATCAAATAAAAGGGTAAAATATTTACTGATTTTAACTCAGAATTGTTATGTACTTTTTTTGTAACTTCACATCTTCAACAATGAAAAACATACAAAGAAACAGCAATAGTTTGCACATAAGAAATATCCTGTTCAATCTTCAGGGTTATGAATGTCATGTATTGTCTTTTGGACTCTACTGTCACAGCAGACACTGTTTCCAAACCAGTGGCACAACTCTACAGTCCCTGGCAATTGACAGATGCCTACTACATTATCATCATGTGTCCTGCCAACTGGCGTAGGCGCTCATGCGTCTCCATAGATCACGATCTGTGGTTGCCTGGAACAGCTCTCTTGATGATATCCCCCATGCCATCGTTTCAGCCTATCCAGCATCATCACTTGGTCTGCCTCTACCTCATTTTTCACTTATCTTTCCAGTTGTCACGATGTTCTCCAATGTCTCTTTTCTCATTATGTGGCCTACTACATAGCATTGTATATTTTCAGTGTGTGTTTTTGCTATTTAATTTAGTAATATAATAATTTCTTCCAGTGATTTATATAATTTACACTTCTATCATTTGATAAAGAGAGACATTAGAGAACATCGTAACAACTGGAAAGATCAGTGAAAAAAGGGGTAGAGGCAGACCAAGAGAGATGATGCTGGATGGGCTGAAACGATGGCATGGAGGATATCATCAAGAGAGCTGTTCCAGGCAACCAGGGATCACAATCTGTGGAAATGCATAAGCGCCTACACCAATTGGCCTGGCACATGATGATGATGATGATGGTGATGATTTGAAATGCTTTCTTGTTCCTACCTTTTGGATTATGATTAAAATGTAAACTTTATGATGTTTATTTTTTATATTATTCATTATGCTGTGCTTTTAAAAGTAGATTAGCAATGTGAATTGGCAAATGCAATGTATAAAACCTACTACATGGTGCAGAATTCTGTACTGTGACAATGACATTGGATAACAGATGCGGACACACACAAGAGTATTTCATGTAAAACAAAATAATAAAATATACAGGTTCTGAATGAAAATGGTTGCTTTTCAAAACTATACTACTAGAGAGAAAGAGTAGAAAATGGAAAAGGCAAGACAACAAAAGGTAGACAGTGATACAAGTATCATGACAACATCAAAAGATAGACGAACAGCTACCTGAGAGACCTTAGAACTAAGACCAGAGATCCAATGAAACCAATGTTCATTATGGTGACGGAGCCTGTCTGATTGACTGACTAAAAAGATTTGCAGATAGCGAAGTTAGGTCTAGTGTAAACTGACATCGACTCATCGACTTTGTTTACATCTGTTATAAACTGACTAATAATCATTATTTTAACTTCGTTTTCCTTCTTTCGTTAATAAAATCAGCTGTTGTACTGGATATCAACATTAAGTTAATTTATATAATTGTTGACAAATTAATATTTAATTAAAATGTTGATTTACTTATATATATATATATATATATATATATATATATATATATATATATATATATATATATATATATTATAATTACTATTAATCTATCAAATACAAATGACAGATAGATCATAACTATTGCGTAGCATCTCCTTTTAAATCGTTAAGATAGTGTACTGTGGAATAAAGGAGCTAAATGAAGCAATAATTCACTGTTTTACTTGCTTATTTCCAAACAGACGCTCGACCATTTGTTTTAGTTTTAACCCTCGCCTGTGTCTCGTCCGTTGTCAAGGGTAGCCATGTAACACCGTGCTTGGCAACGAGGAACTAACTCTTCTGTGTTATTTTCTTTTCTTCTTCTTCTGCGTTCGACATCAGTCATGCTACACATTGAGTCCCGTCTGGATCAAAAATAGGATTGTGCGTTTAAGGTCGCCACCGGTCCCCCATAGCTTCTCTCGCAATGTGGATCCCCTGGGCCAGATCCACAGTCTTTGCTGGGAGAGGTAAGGGCAGTATGTGCTGTGTTATTTTCTTCAAAGCATTAGTAATGAAGCAGAACTCTCGTGCGAAAGGCCCGGGCTCGGTCCTGGGTATAGAATAAATCACGACCAGCTCCAGATTTATACAGCCGGACGTGAGAATAAATAAACACTTTATGTTACTTGGGAGTCACAGTGGCCTAGCGGCTAGGTCGTGGGTTCGCTCCCTCGCGGAGCCGGACTTTTTTCAAAAAATGACATTGGCTCCCAGGTCGACCCAGCCTTGAATGGGTACCGGGTGCAGACTCGGGAAAGTAAAGGCGGCCGGCGTGATGCTGACCACATCACAAATCTTGTTCTGACCGGTCTATAAAAATATAGGTCCAGCTCTATATGCCCTATACGCCTAAAGGCGTGGAAAGGGTCCTTTACTTTTTTTTTACTATGTTACTTGATTAAATGCCCGGCTCTCTGGCGTAGTTGGCTAAACCAGATTGCGCGGTGACCAGGTGACGAACTCCTTGTGGTCCGGGTTCAATCCCGGGGGTAGGCATTCCTGCCTACATTTCTACATTTCTCCCAGATTCACGGTATTTGCAATGGAATCAAGGCCGAAAGGTTGCGTTATCCATAATACCGAGCCTAAGGGTTAACAACTCATGGCTTCTGGATACTAAAACCAACAAACAAACTTGATTAATTCGGTATGGAATGGAGATTGTGAACACCCCACGATCCAACCCCCTTCTGGATCCTGCATCATCAAGTGGTAAATAGGCCTACACGCAGTGTACAGAAAACTTGAGTGAAATTAACTATAGCAGCCGCAGAAGAAGAAGAAGAAGAAGAAGAGGAAGAAGAAGAAGAAGAAGAAGAAGAAGAAGAAGAAGAAGAAGAAGAAGAAGAAGAAGAAGAAGAAGAAGAAGAAGGAAGAAGAAGAAGAAGAGAAAGAATTAAAATATTTCAACTATATTTTTTTTTTTTTTTTTTTTTCACCGGCTGTAAGCTCAGGCGGAAAGTACTGGTTGTTCGTCAATTTAGACTTTGTGCCAGGGCCTGAGTTTTACGTGTACATCCGTTTTACTGGCTTATTTCTATGCAGCTGGTTGTTTCTTGA